ACAGCTTTGCCTTGACAGGCAGCAGATAACGGATGGGAGACCCAGAAAGGAGTTCCAGGTTTCTAGCTTCAGTGGGACCAGGTCCCAACTGTTGTGGGCATTTGAATGCAGTGTTGATCTCTGTCACTCTACTGGTCAAATCTTACTCAAAAATGTTTTATTTTAATTTGAAGGGCAGAGTAGGAAAGAGAGAAACATCCTCCATCTGCTGTTTACTCGTCAAAAGGCTGCAGTGGCCAGAACTGGGCTGGTTTGAAGGCATGAGCTTCTTTCAGGTCTTCCCTATGGGTGCAGGGCCCAAGGACTTCAGCCACCCTCTGCTGCTTTCCCAGACCATAAGCTCAGAGCTGGATCAGAAGTGGAGCAGCTGGGCCCATATGGGATATGAGCAGTGCAGGCGGAAGGTTAGCCTACCACATTGGCCCCCAAACAAATACATCAGATAAAAAAACTTCCTCTTACAGAATTCAGAACGAACGAACCCTAGTGACAACCGTGACTTTCAGCCTCTGGAATTGCAAGACAAAAAAAAAAATTCTGTTTATCTAAACCAGCCAATGCGGTGTCTTTCAGAGGCCCTATGAAACAAACACAGCCCTTTTCAAAGTTTGCGCGTGAAAGACTTAAGAGAAGGAATGAAATGCGTACTGACCTGGTGGGAAGGCTGGTCGACCCAGGACACCAGAGCAATGCCGCAGTGTGGCCCACTGAGAGCAAGGACACGTCTTCCACAGCCTGGAGCCACTTCTTCTGATCTCTTCGTCTGAACCACGTCGGAGATTTAGGAAAACAGTAATTCCGGAGCCACATCATGCTTCGCCAAGATCCACACAGGCAAAGCCGGTGCCTCGGATAACTTCTTTGGCCTCTCACATTTTTTTAAGTAAGAAAAAAAAAATTATTATGTGTTTATTTGAGAGGCAGAGAGGGACGCAGAAGAAGCTTCCATCTCTCTGCCGGCGTCCTCCTGAAATGCCGGCAAGGCTCGGGGCTGGGCCTGTGGAGCTCGGGCAAGCAAGCCACGTTGCTTCACGTGGCTCCAATTACTTGAGTGGGAACACCTGGCTCCCAGGGTCAGCTCAACGGGCCCGAAGCTTGAGTCCTCTTCCCCATAAACCATGGGCAAAGGAAGCTGTAAGGGAGGCAGAGAAAAAGTAAGCCTGGAAAACAGAAAGGTGGGGACGTAGGGCCACAGGTGTAGAGGCTAGAGAGGAGCCCTTAGATAGAGTGCAGGTGAAGTAGCTTAAGGACAGGGCTGCTGGCTGCTGGCTTTACTCTGATACAAAATGACTGTTATCTCAGGAAAATGTGCCCCAGCTCTTGGGGGTTCCAGGATTGAAAGAAATGCCAATTTCTTTTGCTGACTGAGGAACACAGGGAAGGAACTGTCAAGGACTTTGTGACAGGACTGGGTCTCTTTCACTGCTTTCGTGCCGTCATACTGCCCTCTAATGGGGCATCTTTCTGCCAGGCTCATCTTTTGGCTTCCTTACCATCTGGCCCACTCCACCATATACAATTTCCTGCACCTGCTAAAAAGTATGTGTTAAGCGTGAAGCCTTAAGAATCATGCAAATGGATTGAAGCTGTTTATCATCTTTGCAAATTACTAGCAGTTTCCAAAATACGACAGAGGCTTCCCCACCAGAGTTGTGTAATTTTATGTTAACACTGAATCCTCACCCAGCGTTGGATTTGGACGCATGGAGGATGGCTCTGATGCATGATCAAATGCTGGCTTAAAATGACACTAGGCACATGCTACAAAAATAACCTCAATGGCCTTCCCATGAGCTAGTCATTGCCAGTTATTAATTTAATTCAAAATTAACTTCTTCTTGTTAGGGATTTTAACTTAGAACAAAAGACAGCCAGCTTTACAGCTAAGTAACTTGGCAACTCTTTTGATGAGGAAAAAGTGCCAAATCAGCCTTGTGTGTGCTGGCTGGGTTTCATCGCAAATTCTTGTTGTAGTTGTATTGATTCTGAACCAATTAAGTCTTTGTGATTCCAAACCCCATTTTTCAAGTTAAAAGAAAATGGAGCCCCAAGTCAACCATGCTGATGTTATGAAATCACCAAAAAATTCGGTAATGGAGAAAACCAGTGAAATAAGACTACCTTGGTCCCTATTGGGCTCATAATTAGTGAATGTGTGTGGGGTGGGAAATGTTACCATCATATCTACAAATAGTGGTGTGTCCTACGGCAAAATGCAGTGCTTGGCTAAGGTCCATGTATGTAGGAGGTGACTTCCAGAAACTTCACAGAAAAATGGGATTCATATGTTTGTGCTTATGCAAAATAAAAATTTTTTAATCCATGCAGGGTTTAAAAATGTTTTAAATTTATGTTCATTTTATTTGAAAGACAGCTTTTCAATGCACTGGTCATTCCACACACTCCTTCAATAGCCATAACTGGGTCAGGTCAAACCCAGGAGCCTGGGGACCCAGCACCAGAGGCATCACGCATCCGGACCCAGCACCAGAGGCATCACGCATCCGGATCCAGTACCAGAGGCATCATGGATCCGGACCCAGCGCCAGAGGCATCACACATGCTTTTCAGTGTGCATTTATCTGAAGGTTAGGATGGAAGCGTGGGAACTGGCACTCACCTGAACCAGGCATTCCAACACAAAATGCAGGAATATGGTCAGAAAGAGATGGCTGAAGGAGAATAATTTTGAGAAGGTCCTTTGAGGCCATATTTGATAATGGCTTAATGATATTCCCTAGCTAACCGCTTAGGAACACATCATCCTTTAGAGTAGGAAGGAAACACTTGCAGGCCAAAGAACTTTTCCATAAGCAGCGAAGTTCTGAACTCCAAATACAACCCCCCAAACTGACTTCCTCCAGTGAAACAAACTGCACAGAGCATGCTGCCTTACGTGAAAAACCAACTGTCATCTAATGAGAGCCAGTGTTTATCAAGGTCTCACGCCTTCCTGCTTCCTTTCCTCTGTACCTCATTAATTCAGTGCTCCAGGAGCCACAGTTACTAGTCAACCTTGCTTAACCTAATGAGTGAAAGTAATGGCCATGACATCATCCTTCCTTCTTCTAGGGAAAAAAAATAAATAAATAAAACACTGCATCTGATCAAGGCTTTGGATGGTCTATCCCAAGAGAGGGTTTATAGTTTGAATGGAAACACACAACGCATGAAAAGCTCATGATGTTTTGCCGTCTGGCACACATACACACTTGTTCCTCTCATTTTGCTGCTAGCAAATCGATAAAGATCGAGTTTAGTGGCACCACGAATGAGAGCGAGCAGTGGTAGGTGTTTCATTTTTCGCGCCAGGGCACGTGAAGAAGGAAGTCAGTCCTAGCACGCCTTGTGGGAGGGCAGCTGCACTCGGGGGATGCTCAGACTGGGAGGGGGATTGGGAATGGACCCACTACTCTGGAACGTGTGTATCCAGGACAAACACCTGGCCCAAGTTCTTGCTGTTAATACAAACAAAAGGGAGGGAAGGTTCATAAAACCGGATGAGCTGTCCCCACTGTTAGGTCTTCAGGTCTGCAAGAGTTGAAATGCACCTTGTCCCACCAAAGCTCACATGGAAGTGGAATCTCTGTCCTGAGGTGTTAAGAGGGGGGATAAGTGGGACCCTTCAAGAGCTGACTGGCTCCACCCTCGTGAACATATGACTTATATGACAAACGTGATGGATAAACGGCCTCTCCAGCATGAGCTGCTGTAAACAGAAGGACCCCAGGCCCTAAACAATGCACCCAGGCTGCGGTACTGTGTTATCAGGGATTGAAAACAGGCCAAGATGATGTCTGGCTTTATTTCAATCAAATTTTACCTGTTTGTTTTAAAATATCTATTAAGTACTTGGCATTTGTCCTGCTTAACAGATCAAGGATGGTCCCCAGAGCTAACGTGTGTACCCATGCAGGTGCTCGGGACCCAATGCGGAGCATACTACACAGCTTTCACTGCAGCAGGTGGTCCTGTCTCATGGACACAGAGCATCTGAACTTCCACTACTGCCTGTCCAAGTGTCCAAAGCAGGCCCAGCATCTCAGCCGTCCACTCCTGAGGGGTCATCACTTCCCTCCTGTGCTGGAGTGGAAACTCACCTGCTTTAGGTCTTTGCTCACATTCCACCTTTCACACTTAGGATGGGAAACCCTTGGAGGGTTGTGGAGCAGGAAGACACTCTGTCTGAAGAAGAAAACAACGGGAATAGAAGAGTAAGCGCAGGGAGCAAAAGTGGGCAAGTCGGGTGTCCAGTGTCCGTCTAGCCAGGATTCAGAGATTAATGGACTGGCTCCTGCCCCGCACAGCTGCACCGCTCTTTCTGAACGTGTACTATGGAAGATTCCTGCAGAAGTCACGCGTCCTAACCCAGGCACCCCGACATTCTAGGACCCAGAACTTTGGTTCCCTGATTGGGATACTGGGAGGTGTGTGGCTCTATTCTGCTCTCCACTCCCCAACCCTGAATATTATTATTACTAATTACAGAGAGGGATATCCTTCATCCTGGAGGCTGGAGCTTCTTCTGGGTCTCCCAGCTGGGTGCAGTGGCCCTCTTGGCCTATCCAAGTACTTGGCTTCTCCTCCCCGTACATCAGCAGGGAGCAGCAGGGACTCGAACCACCACCCCTGCGGGAAGCCCACCGAGTGGCAGGCGGCTAAGCCACAGTGCCTTCCTGACCAGCTCCTCACGAGGAGACGGCCCTGGACAGCGCCGTACTCGGTCTCCCTCGGATCCAGCATTTTCACCCGCTCCACACAGCACGGCAGACAAGCTCGTCATCCCCAGCTCCTCTCCTCCCGGTTCGCTGCTCCTCCACCTGACAGGAGCCCCAGAACATCACGGCCTCAGCCAACCCTCCTCCTCGGGCCCGCCCGTGCCGCGGGGCCTTCTGGGAACCGTGGACACCCTTGGTCGTCCACACCTTCCCGCCTCGAGCCCGAACTTCAACTCCCGGCAGGCGCCGCTTCCGCCCGCCCCCGTCGGAGCGCGAGGCCTGCCGGGAGGGGGCAGGGAGCCGGCGGGCCGGGTCCAATGGGTGCAGGCTCCCGAGGAGAGGGCGGAGGGGAAGAGGAAGGAGGCCGACGCTGGGCCCCGTCCCCATTCATTGCCGCGGCCGGCCGGGCGGGGGTCCGGCTTTTCCCGAGCCATGGAGGCCCTGATTCCTGTCATCAACAAGCTCCAGGATGTCTTCAACACGGTGGGCGCCGACATCATCCAGCTGCCTCAGATCGTCGTGGTGGGGACGCAGGTGAGCGCGGAGGGCGGCGGTCGCGCAGGCCGGAGCCCGGGACGCGGGCCTGAGGGAGCGGGGCGCTGTCGGGGGCCCCCGGCTGCCGGCGCCCGCCCGTGGGGGTCCAGCCCGGGTCCAGCCCGGGTGCAGCCCGCCGGGCGCCGGGCGGCGAGGGGCGGAGCCGGCGCGGCGGGCCCCGGGTGGGGTCGGGCGCGGCCCGCTGCGGCCAAGGGCACCTGGGGGACGCGGGGCCGCGGCGCTGGCGGGGGGCTCCCACCGGCCCGGGGCGGCGCGCTCTCTCCGTCCCACCTCGCCCGGCCCCGCGGCCGCCCTGGGCGGCTCGGATCTGCGGGGCGAGCCGGGACAGTGTTTTCCTGTAACCCTTCCAAGTTTGTGGAACGCCGGGGCGGGGTCAAAGCAGGCAGCCCATGTGTGCCTGCAGTCAGTTCTGGGGGTGTTGGGAGGGGATATTCGTTTTTCTTTCTTTCTTTTTTGGTCTTCCAGTTTTGTGATCGTGACCTGATTGGGCATCAGCTTTTCTGGCCTTTTCCTGCTGGGTGTTGTAGATAACTCAATTCTTTTTAACATGCAGGAAAATTGAGGAAATAGGCTCTGTCTAGAAAGACACAGGAGAAACATAAGCGCGTTTTTCTTTACTTGCTGCTTTTCTGGACTGAAAAGGAAGCACAGGGTTTTATTACAGATGAGGGAGATGCATTTTAGAGATTCCTTAGTATATGTGTTTGGAGTGCTTTCATTCCTTAACAGTATCTTTTCTAGTGAGAAGGTGATGGCCCCCCCACTCTCCCGGTCATTTTCCATAAGTTGCATTGCTACTTCTTGCTACAAAATGAAAGTGTAGGGTGTTAAACACAGGGAAGGAATTTAACCCACTATGTCCCCTTATCCTATGCCTGACAACTAGAAGGACTTAAAATGAGCAATGAAGGTACTCTTTAATAGCAGCTTTGATATATTCACCGAAAGCCATGGACTTAATGGGTTAATATCAGGATAAACGGAACACTGGGAACCTTGGAAATCCTAGAGATCAGTACTTTTTTTGTTTTAAATTGAATCTTCTTTTAAACAGTTAAGCAGCAGAAATTGTTTCAGAAGCACATTTCCTTGATGTGCTGTAGATTCGTACTGAGTCTGCTCAAGTCTTTGCAGGTTCTGCCATTAACGCTCAGTGTTTGTCGCCATTGGTTATGGAAGCATCAGGTTATCACAACTTAGCTCTAGTATTTTTACCGAACGTGTTTAGTTAAGCTTGTTGCATGCACTGGGTGCTTTGTAAATATTTTAAATAAATGACTATTGCTCCCTGTGGCTAGATAATGACCTGAGACACCAGGACTGTTAGAGCTGGTTTGCTCCTGGAAGCAGCGTCAGAGATGACTGTAAATTACATTTGGTTGCCTAGCTGCAGAGCGGGATGCCATACACTTTTAAGTGTGTCTCAGTGCTTTTTTGACATGAAGCAGTTAAACAATGTGGGTTATCATGTGTCAGCACGAATGGTTTAAAATCCAGAAGGGTTTTTCAGTGAATTGCAGTCAGGCTGTAGGTGGGTGAAATGGAGAGGGGCTCGGGAGAGAAAAGTGAAGCCCCTAGTCTGTGGGGAGCTGTTCACCTGTGCTAACAAAGACCACATGAACTTGCCGACAGCTATATGCCACATTTGCATATTGGTATTTGAAATTTCTCATCAAGTTTTTTTTTTAAAGATTTATTTGAAAGGCAGAGTTTACAAAGAGAGACACACAGAGAAGAGAGATCTTGCATCTGCTAGCTCACTTCTCAGATGGCTTCACTGGCCAGAGCTGGGCAGGTCTGACACCAGGAGCCAGGGGCTTCCTCTGTGTCTTCCGCGTGGGTGTGGGGGGCCTAAGCGTTGCGGTCACCTCCTGCTGCCTTCCCAGCAGCGCTGACAAGGAGCAGCCAGGGCTCGAACAGGAGCCCACATGGGATGCTGGCCTTGTAGGTGGCAGCTTCACCTGCTTTGCATCAGTTTTTGTGCTTGATTTGGTAAGGGATATGCACATCAAAGTCCTTATTAACTAAAACTCAATTCTTTTGTTTAAATACAGAATAAATTTCCTTTTTTCCCAGTATTTTCTTCAATATGCTGAAAAGGAAAATAAAACTACTTGCTTTGAACACTGGTACAACCCTGGTTTGTCACCTGTAGCATTGTTACCTGTCGCTGCTGTGTGCCTCTTTGTTCTTATTAAGTGGTGTCGTGTACAATGCCTTCCAGACACATCACTTCTTGTGTACTCAGGTCTGACTAGTACACCAGTGGTGGTGATCATGGCCTTGTAAAGTGGGTGATCTGTCGGGTGTGTTACCGGCACTTTCAGTGGCTCTAGGTTGCTTCTTGTTGAATTTCTTTAAACAGTGATTCTCACACTTGAGTGTATGTTAACATCGCTTTGAAAATAACTATACTGGATTCTAACCCGAGATTTTCATTTTGTAAGTGAGGTGGGCAGGCGGATCATCCACAGATGATATCAACTTCTAGGCAACATTTCCTGGATCTATCTATGAGTTTTAAACTTTTGTTTAAAAAAATTTTAAGTTGTATGTGTGTCAAAGGCATAGTGACAAAGAGAGAAGGGCAGAAAACAATCTTCTCTCCACTACTTGCACCCCATGTGCACACATCAGCCTGAAGGCTGAACTCTATCCAGGACATGTCCATGGGTCTGCTGAGGATCCAGGGACTTGGGCCATCATATGCAAACTTCAGGGACACGAACATGAAGCTAGTGCTTGAGCCAGGCATGTGAGCACCCCGGAAATTGGCTTTACCGAGGGAGGATAACGAGAGGCTATCCCTAAACTTTGATTTTTTATAAATTATTTCTTTGAGAAGCAGACATGTGCCTGCCTGGCTCATCTGCTGGTGCACTCTCGCAGTGGCCGCAGTGGTGAGGACTGACTGGGAGCTGCAGCTGGCAGCAGGATTCCAGTTACTTGCACGGCCGGGGCTGCTCCGTGCTCTGCGCTAGCATGAAGCTTGAATGTGGCTCTGCCGGGGTGACCCGGAGCATCTTCACCGCTAGGCCACACATCCACCTCTAAACTTGGCATTTTTTTTTCCTGAAGATTTATTTATTTATTTGAGAGACAGCTCTTCCATCTGCTTGTGTAGTATCTTCCTGCTGGCAACAGCCAGGCGTAGGCCAGGCCAGGTCGAGGCCAGGAGTGAGGAGCTGCATCCGGTGGCTGGCAGGACGTGACGTGCTTCTCCTCTAGGTAGCCGTTAGCAGGAAGCAGGGCTGGGAAGTGCCAGCTAGCCAGGTCTGAAGTGGCAGTTTGCCTGCCCCTAAACTTTGTGTGTTTTTTTTTTTTTTTTTTTTAACATTTTCTTATTTTACTTGCAGAGCTAGAGTTAACAGCGGGAGAAACTACATTCACTGACTGACTCTCCTAGTGGCCCTAACTGCAAAGCCAGGAGCCAGGAGCTCCCTCCAGGTCTCCCTCATGGGTGCAGGGCCCCAAGCACTTGGGCTGTCCTCCACTGCTTTCCCAGATCATTAGCAGGGAGCTGGATCAGAAGTGGAACAGTTGGGACACACACTGGTACCCATGTGGAATGCTGGCAACGAGCGGAGGGTTAGGCTGAAAGGCACCATGCCATCCCCTTAACTTTGATTTATAAAACTACCCAAAGAATGATTATTTGGGGGCAGCGAGTTGGGAGGAACGGAAGTGAAGGATTTGTGTTTACAGGTATCATTCTCATTTTTTTACGATTTGACCAAATAAATTGCTTCTTCTCTAGTTGAGATCATCTGTGTGGAAAAGAAGGTTGATACGTTGAGACCATGGTGTCCTTTGCAGAAGGAGATAAAACAACCTTTTAGACCCAACTTGGGAAATCTAATCACCGTTTCTTAAGTGGAACAGTGGAAGGGGGAGCCCTGCAGCTGTGTAACCCAAACCACCAGCAGTCACGGCTCAGTGAGACAGCGACTGTGGCTGAGCTAGTGTTGTTAGCAGTGTACTTACCACTTGGTTTTCTTCAGTGACTTCAGCTTTACGTTTTCACTAACACACACACACACATCTAAAGGTTTTGTGGGGGTTTTTTTTTTTTTTTTTGCTTTGCTTTTTTAAAGATTTATTTATTTATTTTTTTATTAGAAAGGAAGATATGCAGAGAGGAGATTAAGAGAGAAAGATCTTCTGTCAGCTGGTCGACTCCCCAAGTGGCTGCATCAACCAGAGCTGAGCCGATCCAAAGCCAGGAGCCAGGAGCTTTTCTGGGTTTTTCTGGATACAGAGTCCCAAGGCTTTGGGCCATTCTCCACTGCTTTATCAGGACACAAGCAGGGAGCTGGATGGGATTTGGAACATGGGATCCCAGTAGATGCAAGGCGAGAATTTAGCTCTCTAGGCTATTGCGCTAGGTCCAAGTTCTGGGTTTTGAGACCCAGTTTGTAAACCAGCCTTAAAAACGTTTTAGCATTGGACCCAGCATGGTAGCCTAGCAGGATCCCATATGGGTGCTGTTTCTAATCCCAGCAGCTCCACTTCACATCCAGCTCCCTGCTTGTGGCCTGGGAAAGCAGTCGAGGACGGCCCAAAGCCTTGGGACCCTGCACCCACGTGGGAGACCTGGAAGAGGTTCCTGGTTCCTGGCTTCTGATCAGCACAGCACCGGCCGTTGCGGCTCACTTGGGGAGTGAATCATTGGACGGAAGATCTTCCTCTCTGTCTCTTATCCTCTCTGTATATCTGACTTTGTAATAAAAATAAATAAATCTTTAAAAAAAAAAAAAGGCAAAGTTACAGAGGGTGAGAAGGAAAGAGAATCTTCCATTGCCGGCTCATTCTGGACCACAGGGAGCACGGGCAGCCAGCAGCCAGCAGCCGGCAGGGAGCAGGCAGCCAGCAGCCAGCAGGCAGCACGGGTAGCCAGCAGCCAGCAGGGAGCACGGGCAGCCAGCAGCCAGCAGGGAGCATGGGCAGCCAGCAGGGAGCAGGCAGCCAGCAGCCAGCAGGGAGCACGGGCAGCCAGCAGGCAGCACGGGTAGCCAGCAGCCAGCAGGGAGCATGGGCAGCCAGCAGCCAGCAGGGAGCACAGACAGCCAGCAGGGAGCACGGGCAGCCTGCAGCCAGCAGCCTGCAGCTTCATCTCGGCTCCCCAGGGTTGGAAGGGCCATCTGCTGCTGCTCTCGGAGCTTCACAAGGAGCTGGACTCCAAGTGGAGCAGCTGGGACTGGAACCTGCGGCTTTAACCCTGGCCGGGCTCATCATGTGTTGCCTCTGTACAGTAAGCACTGCTGTCTACATTTAGTTCTCTCTGAAATCTTGGCTTCTCCTTCCTGATACATGTAGAGATGGTGGCTGTTCAGTTATTAATTTGCTGGCAAATATTGTTTTGTTTTTTCTGTTTCTAATGCACTGTTTTCTATTTTGCTTCTTATAGTTGGTGTGATAAACTACTTGCTGTCTTAAGCTTTTTAAATAAAAAGTTGAGGTGAAATTTCCATAGCATAACTAGCCATTTTAACTAGACAGTTCAGTGGTCTTAAGTAAATTTATGGTATGAAACCATTCCCTCTGTCTAGGTTGAAAATATTTTCATCACAAAGAAAAACTCTATAACCAGTAAGCATTTTCTTTTCTTTCTTACCCTTACCTTGGCAAACACCAGTCTATTGTGTCTCTGTGGATTTACTTTATTTTGGATCATTCATAAAAACAGAATCATACAGGAGCCGGTGCTGTGGCTCAGTGAGTTAGGCAGTAGCCTGCAGTGCCAGCATCTTCTATGGGCACCAGTGGAGTCGCGGTTGTTCTACATCAGTCCAGCTCCCTGCTGATGTAATGGAAAAGCAGTGGGAGATGGCCCAGCTCTCTGGACCCCTGCACCCACAGGGGAGACGGAGGAAGCTCCTGGCTCCTTTCTTCAGCCTGTTCCAGCCCCAATTGTTGGAGTCATTTGGGGAGTGTCAAGCAAGTAGAAGAGCTCTGTCTCTCCTTCTGTCTAACTCTGCCCTTAAAATAAATTTTAAAAATGCTTTATAATATGTGATGATTTATATCTGCCTTCTTTCACTTAGCATAACATGGTTTTCATTTGGCAATTTGTACTGGCTGAATAGTCAGTATTCTATCATAATATATAACTAATTTTTTTATTAAAGTTTTATTTTATTTGAAGGAATTATGGAGAGAGACCATACAAAAGATTTCCATTTGCTGGCTCATTTCCCAAATGACTGCAATGGTATCTTTATCTATTATATTAATATAAAAAAGAATTTAGAGACTTAGCCTACACAATGTCATGAGGGATCCTTTGTAATTCCTCAGCACCTGATGCTAGTTATCAAAAAAAGATAGCTCAGACCACAGCGTAAGCTCACAGAAAGGCCACGTCTCAGAGTACAAATGCAAGGCACTGGAAGACCTAGTCCAGAGTGAGGACAGGGGAACACTGCCCCGAGACAAGGCTTAGTCTACAGCTGCTGGGTCGAACACAGTATATACTACCACCTGGTAGTATGTGGGGATGCAGATGAAAGCATGGAAGGCCTGGATGGCAGCTGAGCCTCCCAGTCATGATTTCTGCTGTTTTGGAACTCCTGGGACAGTTGACCCTTCTGGAAAGAAGATGGATGCTGAATCACCAGGGAAAACATGCAGTGAGCTAACCAATTGTTGAAGAAGCCAATGCTATTTATAACATTGAGTCTGGAGGAGCAGTGGAAGCTAGTGTATGCTTTATGAGTCTCAACACAGCAATATCATAAAGAAATGACTTTGTTCATAATATTTAGAAATGAACAGATTTACTTGAAAGGCCCAAGTTTCTAGTCTCAAAGATAAAAATCCAACTCGTATTCCAGCGGACCTGAAATACAACATTCTGTAGATGGCTCAGTCAATGTCTGCTGGCTTCAGCTCTTACTGCTCCCAGTTGCTTCACCTTGGTAGCATTTTTATCATCATACTCCTGTATCTTTTATATATATATATAATATGAAAGGAGCAATGAAATATGTTTTCCATCTTACATGTGTATAAGAAGGTGAAAAGCTGAGATTATTGGGGTTATATAAGGCTACCCTGTTAACTTGTTACCTAAGTATATGTAGACAAGTTATGTAATTAAAAAAATAATTTAACTCATCAATAAAATAGAATAAATAGCAATTATTTCATAGAGTTGTTACACTTAAATGGGGTTAACCCCTTGAAATAGTGTTATTATGGTAATTATGGTTGATATCATAGTTATTTATTAAGATAGCTGTACTTTTTCTTAAAGAATGACTACATTTCAAGAAAAATTATACTTTGACAGATGTTAATAAAATCTTATGCTTCTGATGGATAAACAAAATGTTAGAATACGAACTGATGACATTTTGTAAAGATTATTAAATTATTGCTGATATTTGGTTGCCACTTTGGCCCAAGTCTGGGTTACTCATCCACTGCCCGTCTGGGGAACAGGCTGGTAATCATTCAGAGTTCTCCCACCGTCAGCGAGCAGCAATGCACTGGAGGCGGGGGAGTCTGAGAGCAAGTTCTTGGCAGGTCTGCTTTCTGTGGCATCTCCTCTCTCCCTTCATCCTCGTGTGTGCACCTCCCTGGTGTTTATGTGTCCAAACTTCCTGTTCCAAGAGGGACACCAGGCAGGCTGTATCAAGGGCTACCCTAACTTAACCGCCTCTTCAAATGTCCTGTCTGCAGATACAGTCACAGCTGAGCTACTGCTGGAGAGTACGGGCACACATACTGATTTTATGAAGACACATTTCAGTGTGTGACAGCCCATCTTTAAGAGCTGTTTATGTGGGCGTGGGGCGATAGCCTAGTGGCTAAATCCTCGCCTTGCAACTGCTGGGATCTCCTAAGGGCACTGGTTCATGTTCCGGCTGCTCCCCTTCCCATCCAGCTCCCTGCTTGTGGCCTGGGAAAGCAGTCGAGGACAACCCAAAGCCTCGGGACCCTGCACCTGTGTGGAAGACCTGGAAAAAGCTCCTGGCTCCTGGTTTCAGACTGGTTCAGTTCCAGCTGTTGTGCCCACTTGGGAGGTGAATCAGCAGACAGAAGATCTTTCAGTCTGTCCTTCTCTCTCTAAATCTGCCTTTCAATAGAAACAAATAAAATCTTAAAAAAGAACTGTTTATGTACGTTTATATATTTATTCATATGTCCGACTGAAAATCAGATACTATAAAGGGGAAGGCTAAAGTAGACATTCAGTAATAAAATGAGGTTAATATAGAAGATGTATGTATGTGTGTATATAATTACATATATTAAGAGTCTTGTGAGATAGTTAAAGTCATCTACGGGATAACATGCCACAGTTCTTTGAGGTGTAGTATCATGAGATCTGTAACTAAGTTTCAAACAAGGAAAAAAATTTGTGTGTGTGTGTGTGTGTGTGTGTGTGTAGAAACAAAGCAAATGTGTCAGAATTGACAAATGGCAGATCTGTGTTACAGGACTGAAGCAATTACCTTTATTCTTACAACTTATTGGTAGCCTTAAAAATTTCAAACCAGAAAGTTAAAGAGAAAATACTCAAAACACTAAGACGTGAATTGGTTACATGATGGTTTTGTTAGAAACTAATAGGAAACATGAAATACTAGCATTTGAATGAACAGACCGCTGAAAGAAGCATATGGAAAGGATTGAAATTTAAATGAGATGTGATGTCAGCAACGCCCCGTGCTGGCCGCATGGTACAAGGACAGTGAGGACGGCTGTGTGTACGATGGGCCTGTTTGCTGCCGCACTGTTCCTAACGACAGTGTCCGCCAGTCAGGCTTTGTCTTCAGACACAGTAGAACACAGTACTGTTTGACTGTTAAACACACCTTGATATGGAATGATATCCTTGCTTATTACATTAAAAATCAAAGGTTAGAGAATATATATTGTCCTTCCCATTGAAATGAAATCATCACATAATATTGGCATGATTTTATTTGTGCCAATATTATGTAGGTTAGGAAGCCTGGTTGGAAAAAAATGTGGGAAAGTTATGGGAAATGGGGCATTTACTTACTGTTATCAGAATTTTTTGGAGATGCAGAGCATCTCACAATGGAAAATACAGCTCAATTTTACAGTGTAATCATTCTTCCTTTACAACAATTCCTTTGTATGCTGCTGTGTGAGTACGGCACATGGAATTAAAATCTGTTAGGAAACTCACGTTGCTGCTGTGTGTTCTGTGTTCAGAGCAGTGGGAAGAGCTCGGTGCTGGAGAGCCTGGTCGGGAGGGACCTGCTGCCCAGAGGCACCGGCATCGTCACCCGAAGGCCCCTCATCCTGCAGCTGGTCCACGTCTCTCCGGAAGACAAACGGAAAACATCTGGAGAAGAAAACGGTAAATTCAGTGAGGAAGCATGTTGGCTGAAAAACTTTGCTTTTTGGTTTAGTCTTAAATTAGTTGCTGTAACAAAATCGGAAGTTCTTTGAAGTGTCATGTGCATCTTTTTCTGTATTAAATAAGTGATTTCTGTTTTGTTCAAAGGCCAGGAGTAAAGTTGGTGAGAATGGTGTTTAGTAGACATGTTATTGTTATTTAATGGAGGATTTACTAAGTAAACAGGAACTAGTTATTTGAAAGAAAATGCTTCTAAGGGTCTTTTGGGGTGTTATACAGGTTTTTTTGTTTTGTTTTTCCTTCAACCACTGATTGCTTTTCTCTTTGATTTATAATTCAAGTCATTTAGATTATGATTGAAATTTCCCATGTGAAATAAAATTAAAACGATTGTCTTTTAGTTTGATATCCTTACTTTGCTTTTTCTTGTGTTAACCATGTGCCTAATAATTTATTGTTTCGCCTGTCAGTCTAAGATGAATGCATGTTGCTCATGGAAGGAGTTTTGATTTTAAAATCATTTTTAATCTTTTATCCCCCTTCTCTTGTTAACGTTTGGATGTATTTACTTGAAAGACAAAGTTACAGAGAGAGGGAGAGTGATGGAGAGATGGAAGAGAAGTCTTCCACTTCCGGCTCACTCCCCAAATGGCCACAACAGCCAGACCAGCCTGAGGTCAGGAGTCAGGAGTGTCTTCTAAGTCTCCCAGGCGGGTCAGGGACACACCAGGGCTGTCTTTTGCTGCTTTCCCAGGGACATTAGCAGGGAGCCAGGTGGGAATTAGAACTGCTGCCTGCCTGGGGAGCTGGTGCTGCCCTTGGCGGAGTGCCGGTTCTGTCTCAGCACCAGCCCCTGCTGCTACTTCCCCAAGATGTGCCCTCCGCTGTGTTGTTAGTTTGTGGCTAACATGAACTTAACCTTCCTTTAACCAACTATATGAGCCGAAAACATGGAGCATGAAACTGAGAATACACAATTCCTGTATAGTGGTTTTATATTTTGATTAAACTGAAAATAAAGAAATGTCAGATTTTAAGTTGTATAAGATGTATATCACTTTTTAATCATTATTGATGTTCACAGCAGAGTACTGTGGGAGGCCAGCTCAGAAGTGAGGTCGGGGCTGGGACCCAGGTTCTCCAACATGGGGGGCCTGGTCCCAACCAGCCTTTGACCTGCTGTGACAAAAGCCCACTTCCAGGGTTCCTTAAGCCTGGCATTTTCTTCAGTCACTTTGAAAGGGCTGTGTCTCTGAAACTATATTCAGGTGTGCACAGTGTATGTCAGTGGAACACTAGCTGTAGACATGTTCTTCGTTATCTGCTTACTGGTGTGTTTTATGTTGATGTCTCTTCTGGATGCCAATAAGGTCTGAATGTCTGTTTTCTCAAGATGAGTATTTATGCCACTATATAGGTATGCACACATATATGAATATTTATATGCATATGTATAGATCTTAATGAAAGTGACAACTCAGCTATTCAGCATGTAAAACAGGTTTCATAAGTCTGAGTGCTGAATTTCATTTAATTCATTTAATTGCTTTTTGCTTACCTTTTTGTCAGAGCCACCTTATGCTTAAACAGCTTGAACTTAATAAAATCATTCTAACCTAGAGGAAGTCAAGAGTTAGCAAGGAGTGGAAGCTCTCAGCCTGATAAAAACGGAGAAAGGAGAAGATACAAGCAGAGAAGAAACCAGTCACTAAGCATTTTGTAAAGGGGATTGCAGCTTCCAAGGGCTCGGCTAGGTAACAAAGACTCAAGTTACCAGTCACAGGATAAACGAACTACATTTTAAGATGACAGAGAAATGTAATTCAGTTTAGATATAGTTCCATCACAGTTTGCTAAAATAAAATATATTAGGGTTTAATGAACAGGAAGATGTATTTAGTGTAGACTCTTTCATTCTGCCAAGTGCGCAGGACAGCTGCTGTATCAGTAGAGGGATTTATGATGGTCTCCGCTTGTCCCCTGCTCCTACAGTATGAAAGAATTTTCCATTAAATTCTTATTATTAATAAGATAAAATCAAACTGTTTTAGCATTAGGTGGTAGTTGATTTTGAACTTCAGTTATATTTTTAAGAGATCAAACATTTCTCAAATTTCCTTTTGGACAAAATTCCAGAATGACAAATTGATTAAAGGTCAAAATAGTATTTTATTATCATACCTTTGGACAATGTCAGTGGAAGCTTGAATAGTTATAAGGATTATATTTATTTTGGAAGAGAGAGTTGTCTAAAGCTAATTGTGTGTGTGTTTTTAGATACAAATATACTTCATAAAAATGTTTAGAATCTGGCTGTAATTTGAATATTTGCTTCCATGTAGTTGAGTTACCTGTTTGTAAAAGTCATTTCCCTATAGCTAGTAGAGAACTAAAGGGATAAGGGAGAATTGATTTTAACGCCTGCAGGGCTGTGGTACTCAGTGTCCCAAGTGGTAAACTCCATTTGAGTTTAGTCTGCAAGGGGAAACGCTGACTTTCTGTGGTTGTCTGTGGAGTTTCTATTTGAAAGGAAATCCCTCATCAAGCCCATCATAGCTCCTGGGTTCGGTACTGCCACAGTCATTAACTCTAAGACTTTGGAAGATGTGCTTAGTACTTTGAAGATTCTTTTTTTATCTGGAAATGTATCTTTCCCACAGTTGGTTATCAGCTGTCCCAGGCAGAAAAGTTTTTAAAGCTTTATTTTTTACAAGTCAGAAAGAGACCTTCCATCAGTGTACATCCCAAATGGCCACCGTGGTTGGGGATGGATTGGGCGGAAGCCGGGGGCTGGAACCCCGTCCTGTCCTCCCACATCAGTAACAGGAACCTAAAAACCCAGGCCACCTGCTGCCTTCCCAGCAAGTGGCTTCCAGACTGGAAGCAGCACGTCACTAGAGGGTGCTTGCATTGCCAAGAGCGCCTTAACCTGCTGCTGCTCCACAGTGATCCCCGGGAAGAAGTGAAGTGAGGACATAATTCATTGTAAGGGGAAATTTGTGGTCTACCAATGTCAAAATTAACTGTAACACAATAGACTTTGCTCTTATCAATCACTTAAAAATACTAAATACATTGTCTAATTTTAGTTGTACATTTTGAGTAGCTGAATGCCATGTGCATTTTGAAATGTGATCGGGTTTCTGCTCATTTGATTTTTAAGAGGTTGAACATTTCAGGGATGAGCACTAAACTTATCATTCTGTGCTGTTTTCTTTAACTGCAGACCCTGCTGCATGGAAAAACTCCAGACACCTTTCCAAAGGTCTCCTTTCCGCATTGTTCTGGCCCTTTCTCTGACGCCTGCATGTGTGCTGAGTGCGCTTACAGGCTGTGCGCATCCTTTCTCCTTCCATTTTTATTTGCCTATCCACAGTGACTGCAGGTTTTAGTCGTTATGTTATCTTTTTTGGCATTGTATCAAAATGCAAGCTTTTATGGTGGTGAATGTTATTTATTTATTTTATTTTTATTTAAAAACATGCTTGTGAAGCCAGGCCTCTTTTATATGAAAGGAAATTCGGATTCCTTTCGGTTAGATGTGTCTCCAGCCCTCTAGTGACACTTGTGGGGAGGTGCTCTGTGGCACTAGGTGAGCACTGGACTTGGGAAAAGGATCCACTTTTATTTACCTTGGTTCCACCAGAGAGCTGACCTCTTAATAAGTAATTAGATGATATCTTATATGCATTATTCAGTATAAGACATTTAAAGTTGTGTGAATTTGGCAAAAACAAAAACGCTGGGGAAGGTACAGTTAAACTACCTTTGTACAATTAAACATTTCTAGTTTCTCTTGTAAAAATAGGCTAATACGCTGCCCATGTTTAAGGCCACGCCCGCCACGCACAGTGCGTGTTCTTCAGCAAGCACTCAGAACACAGCTGCTCGCTGGCAGCGGCTGAGAGCGGCGTTTCTGAGCAGAGAGCCCAGGCTTGTTCTCCATTCCCCGTCTTTCCTTTCTCCAGCTCCAGGGGGCAGGATGCCCTTGAAAGGCTCCTACTTACAGCGCTGCCAGCCCCGTGCCAGTGAGAACTCAGCAGCTGGGACTATAGATAACCAACAAGAAATCCAATTTAATGAAAAGTTAGCTGTTTCAGATGTTGAAGTTTTTCCTTCTGTGATATTTACAAGTCTGCTTTGTGCATTGCTCATTGCTTTTCATTTTCTTTCTTTTTTAGCCATTCTCTAATTTAGCACTTTCATCACATAAACCGCTATTGTATGTAAAATGTTTAAAGAATATACCTTTTACTGAAATAAGGGTAAAAATGGAAAACATGAAGAGAATTGAACAATTTTATAAAATTTTCATAAAATCTAGATGTCAGATGGTGGGAAGACCTAAGAGCGACTTTACCTGAAGTCAAAAAATGATACTTTCCTTAAATATAAAAGATACAATTTGGCAGTTCCTAAAAATCTGATTAGTAAGCAGTTAATGTCAAAACAGACACAGATGGCAGTTTATTATGTTGCTTTTTAAATTCCTAACTAATGATAAAAATCATTAGTTTTGCAGTTTCCAGTAAGAGTTTTTCTTTTTTCAGGTGTAGAAGCAGAAGAATGGGGTAAATTCCTTCACACCAAAAATAAGGTAATCCACGAATATTCCTTGTAAAGTAAATCTTAGCAACATTTCTAACCACAGTTATTTACTTGAAAAACAAACTAATTTAGAGATTAACTGTTGTCAAACAGCTTTGGAAAGATTGTAAAGACTATAAAGTGTTTACTAATTATCTCTGCAGTAAATCTGTAGATATTCTAGAAATACATGGTTACCCCCGTCCTCACTTAGGAACCTTTGGCCTTACTATGAGTGCTGTGCTTTTTATTCAATAATTTTTTTTTAGCTTTATACAGATTTTGATGAAATTCGACAAGAAATTGAAAATGAAACAGAGAGAATTTCAGGAAATAATAAGGTAAGCATCTTTTTAGATATAAAAAGTATAAATATCAGTTAGGTATCATGGAAGGTATCCGGCATATAATGTGTGACCAATATTTTAAATTTACAATTTTGGACTTTGAAATAATTGGAAGATTGTCACACATAAATAAAACCTTGGCTTTCATCCCTGTTGCTTCTTAGAGCTTTTGCTTGTGCCATACATGTCATCTAGACACCTGCTTTGGATCCTGTCACTTACATACTAGTTTGTGATCATGTAGTAGTTCTGCTTAGTACAGCCACGGTGAGTTGTCTTTCTGGTGGATGACTGTACTCCAACTCAGCAAGCACTGTGTATTTTTTGAAGAGCTTTTTTTTTACCTGAGTAAAGCTAGAATTACTTGTAGAAATAGAGAAAAATTAGATAATTTTTAATAATGAAAATGAAAAGTATTATGTTAGCAACAGATTGCTTTCTTGTTTTCGAAGATGAACATCTATGATAGGGCAGGTGTTGTGGCAGAGCAAGGCAAGCTGCCTCCTGTAGTGCCAGCATCCTGCAGGGGTAGTCTGGTTCCCGTTTGTCCCACTTAAAGGGTGTTTGAGAGAGCAGTGGAGGATGGCCCACGTGCTGGGGCCCCTCCTCTCATACAGGAGAGCTGGAGGAAGCTCCTGGATTGAACCTGGCCCACTGCCCACAAGTGGGTCATTTGGAGAGAAAGTGGTCAGATGGAAGATCTCTTTCTCTCTGTAAATCTGTAGTCCTGCTTTTCAAGTAAAACAAACTTTTTATTTTAAAGAAAATTTAAAATAAGCTAGATGTCAATGGGTGGGCATTTGATGCACTGATGAAGTTGTTCCTTGGGCAGCCACACCCATACTGCGAACTGCGCAGGCGTCAGTTCCTTTGTTTCTGATCGACTTCCCTGCTACCATGAATCCTGGGAGGCAGCGGGTGAGGACACAGCGTGATCCCCTGGCAGCCACTGGGGAGACCTGCACAGGGCTCCAGGCTCCTGGCTTTGGCTCGGCTCTGCTCTGGCTATTGCAGAGAATGTGAACAAAGACCAGGTGTGAACATCAGTTTGCTTTTTTTATTTGAGAGTGAGCGAATGAGCTCCCATCTACTGGTTTATTCCCCTCAAAGCCGAAAAATTGGGGCCAAAACCAGAGCCTGGGCTGGAGCCAGGTGCCAGAAAGTCAACTCAAGGCTGACTCAGTCCTAAAATCGTACAGATTCTTTGGTGGAAAGTAAGGAATTTTTTCCAGGTCTCCCACATGGGTGCAGGGGCCCAAGCATTTGGCTACCGTCTACTACTTTCCCAGGCATGTTACTCGGAAACTTGAATTGGCACCCACATGGGATACTGAAGGCTGTAGCTTTAGTTGATATATCACAGCACTGACCCTTAGAGCTGTGCCTAATGCCTTTCCCATTAAGGTTATTTAAATAATTCAGGTGTGGTTCTATGTCTGAACATTAGCATTTCTTAAATTTGGCTGCTTAAGAACATCTTGTTTTATTCAATATTAAGTATTATCTATATTTAAGAAATGGTATATGCTTAGAATCAAGAGAAAAGAAACTAACAAAAAGCAAAGAAAATTGCTTTTATTATTGGTGTGGGGTTCATTAGGATTATAACCTTTTTTACAGTGTATTTCATCAGGTTTAGATTGTTGAAATGTTTTGTGGATTGGGTATAATTCATTTTTAAAAGGATCTAATATTTGCCTGAAATGAGGTTTACTACTGTGTTTCATTTTTTACTACATTTCATTTTTCATTGAAATGTTAACATGATTTTAATACATATTTTAAACTTTATTTTTAGGGAGTAAGCCCTGAACCAATTCATCTTAAGATTTTTTCACCCAATGTTGTCAACTTGACACTTGTGGATTTGCCAGGAATGACCAAGGTAAAGAAGAGTTGTTACTCACTGTGAATTTGGTTATGTTGATTTGCACTTCCTCCAATGTGTGTGTGTGTGTGTTTTTTTTTCCTTAACTCTATATGAGAATAATAGGCTTATTTCTGCAGCAGTCACACTTATCAGAAGCTCTCCTTGAAGCCCTTTCTTGACGTGGCCTCTAGGATGTCACTCTACTGGTGTTATCCAAGCTCCCGGCTACTTCTCTCTGCTCTTTTGTAGGTTTCCTCTCATCTCCCCCATGTCTGAACAGTGACAGTCCCATAGCTCAGTTTTTGGACTCCATCCCCTAGACGATTTATTCAAATCCTGTGACTTTAGAATGCTTAAGGTTTTGTATGTTAATGGCATTCAACTATCTTGATATTTGTATATTTGTCTATTTGATGTATACAAAGCTACTTTGAAAAGTTACTGGAAAAAAAAAGTTTGTGGAAAATGAGTTACGAATAACTGCTCTTAAAAACTATTGCATTTCAGAAGTTTTTGCATCAGATCCATGAACTTTCTGAACTATTCTTGTACACTCCGTGTCTTGTAAGCACTATAACCCTGGCCTGTGTGATACCAGAATCCTGACTGACATGTCACAACTTGATCTGATGCTTTTATGGTCTCCTCCATTTCAGGAAGAGAGAAGTCCCTTCTACCAACTGCTTAAGCCACAAGATTTGTAGTCATCCTTGACGCACTTTATTCTACATTACACTTCTTGACAGCATATCCTCTTTGCTCTGCTCACCTCAGTACATCCTGAATTCTGCCATGTTTTATAAATTTATAGTTGATATCCTGATCAGGCCATGGTCACTCGATGTACTTTAGTTAGTAATACTGTCTGTTCTTAACTAAGCAGCTACAGTGATGAGTAACATTTAACTGTCACTCTTTGGCTCAGTCATCTCCCCAGGAGCCTCCCATCCCACTCACATAAAAGTCCAGGTTCTTACAGAGACTACCGTGTTGATTTGATATGTCCCTATTCTTCATGTAACTCTTGATTCACACTCCACCCTTAATTTTCACCAGCCTGGAACATTGTTTCCCCAGATACCTGTGGGTTCTCATCCCTTACTGCCGTTAGCTTCTGTTCCTTGCCTCATATGTCATTGTTTCATTGAGGTCTTCCTTGGCTATTTAAAAACAGAGTGATCTAAAATAAAAATGTAACAATCCTCCAGTCATCCCTGCTGTATCTGCTGCTCTGCTTTATTTTTCCAGAACCCCTTCTCCTACCTGGACACTAGCTCGTATTTGTTTAGTATCTGCTCATTACTGAAACATAAGCTTGACTAAGGTAGACATGATGGCCTTGTAGATTCATTATTGCAAAACCCTGACAGAGAACGCCTGAAATACTGCAGGCTGTCAGTAAGCACCAGATGCCAGCAGTTGTCTCTTAAGGCAACACTGACTTGGTCCTTCCCATGGGACAATGTTAAGGAAACATGTAATATTTGCAGCAGTTACATTTGGACGTTTCACACATTGCCAAATTCATACATACTACTGCAGTATCTTATTACTTTCTTAACTGTTTGCAGATAGATACATAAACTGTGATCCATGATTTGAATGGAAGGGGACCTAAGTTGATGTTTATTATTAGTTCCATGCTTATCTCTGTTTTGTTTAGGTGCCTGTAGGTGATCAACCCAAGGACATTGAGCTTCAAATCCGAGAGCTCATTCTTCGTTTCATCAGCAACCCAAATTCCATTATCCTTGCCGTCACTGCTGCTAATACAGATATGGCAACTTCAGAGGCCCTCAAAATTTCAAGAGAGGTAGATCCAGATGGTAAGGACAGCAGTGATTATTTAACTAGATGCTTGCTTGACAATGGTAAATCTGCTTTCAAGAAAGGAATTTTTATTTTAAAAGGAATTTCAGTTAGTTAATGCAGATTTTAAAAAATATTGCCTTCCTACTTTGCTTATCATTTTCAATAGAAATTCTGATGGAAAATAAAGTTGTTAAATTGCTATATAGGCTAGGTAAAAATAATTGAAAATACCTATATTTTTCATGGTTACCTTTTATTGGGAAGGAGGGTAGGAAAGACAAGTTCCCAATCACTAGCTTACACCTAAAATGCTTGCAATGGCTGGGACTTGCCAAAGTTGAAACCAAGAGTTGCAAATTCATTCCATGTCTCCCACATGGGAGGCCAGAACTCAGCTTGAGTCATTCCCCACTCCCTCCAGGGTGTGCAGTAGCAGGAGTGAGGTGGTCACAATTACATCTTAACTGTTAGGCTAAATGCCTACTCTGCTAATGATTTTAAAATAATAAAATATCGTTAGAAACAAGGTTTCTTGTGTGGTATAAATACAACGTTGTAGCAGTTGAGTGCCAGTTTGAGTGGCCTGCTCTGTAGCTCGTTTAGAAGGCAAAGATGCCCCCAATACTTGAGCGCCTCCATCCTTGGAGAGAGATCAGGATGGAGTTAAGGCTCCTTGCTTAAGCCTGGCTGCTGATCATCTTCAGAGTAAACCAGCTCTGCTTTCAAATAATAAACAATCTTAAAAAGAAAAAGAGGAGGGAGAAATAATAAACTTGATTCTAAGCACTCTAATAGGGGATGTGGGCAGCGAAAGCAGCGGCTTAACCCAGTGTGTCTCAGCACCTGTCCCGAGTGGCTGACTCAGAAAAGTGAATGACTGTCGGGTGTTGACATGGCTCAATGGATTAAGCTGCTGCTTGTCATACCAGCATCCTGTGTGGGTACTGGTTTGATTTCCAGTCTCCCACAGGGCTGCAGGGGCTCAGTACTTGGGCCATCTTTTGCTGCTTTCCCAGCCTTATTAGCAGGGAGCTGGGTCCTAAGTGGAGCGGCAAGAACTCAAATAGGTACCCTAATGGGATGCTGACCTTGCAGACTGTGGGTTAACTTGCTGTGTCACAAAACTGGGCACAGTTAAAATCCCTTAATGAATTGTCCATCACCCGCAAGAAATAATCCATAATGTGCCAATGATACTTGACTAATAATACAGTGGACATCTTTGTACATGAGGACCCTTCAGGAAACTCTCAGACAACTGGAATTAAAAGTATCAGTTCATTCTGGCACAATTTTTAAAGCCATGCATACTTTTTCTTACTATGTATTTTCATATATTACTGTTATTTTTAAAAGATTGATATATTTTACTTTAGAACTGGTTACAAAAGATAGACATCTTCCACTTGCGGGTTCATTTCTCAAATGGCTGCAGTGGCCAGTGTGTGGCCTGGCTGAAGCCAGGAGCAAAGAGCTCCTAATGTGCTTGGGAAAGCAGTGGGGCATGGCACACTACCATGTGGGATACCTGGTTGGAGTTCCAGGGGCCGTGGCCTGGTGCAGACTCAGCTGTTGTGCCATTTGGTTAATGAATTAGCAAGAGGAAGATTTCTGTTTGTTTACAACTGTGCCTTTCAAATAAATAAATAAATCTTTAAAAAGTTAAATCAACTTCCTACAATATATAAATGAGTAAATAAACTGAAAATACACTATGTCAAATCACATATGTAGAGTGGTTAGAAATCTCATATTGCTGCTGCGAGTGGTACAGCTACTTTGGGAAACCATGTGGCAGTTTCTATAAAGATAAATCAACAATCCTATTCCTAGTTATTTACCTATGGTTAAGTGAAACTCTGTGTTCACATACAGCATGGCAGCTGTATCTATCTGATTTCTAGAAATGAGACCTAAATCAAATGTTCCTCAAAATGAAACACTCCTCAGCAGTAAAAGAACGAACTGCTGATCAGCAACTCAGAGGACTCGGAGATGTGCTAGGCTGACCCGAAGCTCCAGATTCAAAGTCCACACACATATGATTAAGTTTATATGACATTCTAGAAAAAGCAAAACAGGAATCCGTAACAGATTTGACTGGTTAGCATAAGGAAATTTGAGGGGCAATGGAACTGTGCTGTCTTGAGGTAGTGTGTCTTTGCATTTGTCAAAATTCAGAATCATACACCAAAATAGTGAATGTTACACAAATTTTGGAGATGCATTTATGAAAGTTAGCTCTACTAATATAGAATTACATGTGAAGACAATTTTTTATATTGTGTGTGATGTTTAAAATTATACTGCTTGAAAGCTAAGCTTGTAAAAGTATTAATAAACTAATGACAAATTAAAGTGGGGTTATAGATGAGGGTTTTTCTTCATTAACAATACTTTGTGGCTTTACTTAAGGGTCATGTTAGCTCTTGTGTCATTGTTAACATGTTTGTTCTGCATCTCTCAGGTCGCAGAACCCTTGCTGTGATCACAAAGCTCGACCTCATGGATGCGGGCACTGATGCCATGGACGTGTTGATGGGAAGGGTTATTCCAGTCAAACTTGGAATAATTGGAGTAGTTAACAGGTTAGCAATCAAAAATTGGGTAAGATCTGCAGTATTCTCATTTCAAAGCCTCCATTTCTAAAACTGGGGGGAAATGTGATATTGTTTTATTTTTCTCTCCTTTTACTATAATGTTGGTATTGATTAATGCTTCATTGCTCTGAAAGAAAAAAGTTATTGATTAAAGCTTCCTCTACACATTGTTAATGCACTATATCTCCACAGAATGTAGTGTTACAAAATGGAGAACAGTTTAGTAACCAGTACTTAAGAGTTCTTGTATTGTGTTAAGATAGCTATGAGGACACTAGGCGAGGAAAACGCATCTTGCCAGTTTGTACAAAAGGAAAAAAGACTTTAGGGTGGCAGAATGTGAATAAATTTATTTCAATCCTAGTATTAGGATTCTTAGGATTCTGTATAGTAGCCAGGATATGACTTAAAGCAATTTGTATTAAAAGAATTCCATTATAGTTGGTATTAAAAATTACAGAAAGGAAAATATTGTTGAGTGTCTATGTTTTAGACACTCTACTATTAGCATTTTACAAAATGGTGTCCCCTGGGACTCTCACAATACACTATGAGGGAGGTGTTGATTTCTGTAGTAACATCACGACACTCAAGTTATATATTCACTAAAGTTCCATGGCTAGCAAAAAGTAGAGCTGGTTTCAAATGATGCTCTTGGTGCAAAGTCTTTATATGATAAGATGTGTGTGTGTCTGTAAATTACACATTTAAATGACTCCTAACTAACATCTTTGGGTCTTAAGCCTTTTAAAAATGCAACTCTTTTTGCTAAGTGATAGCTCAGATTCACTGCAGTGGTCTTCCCCTGCTAGCCTACTCATTACTACATGCTGTATTTATACATGATAACCCTTCAAGTTGACTTAATTATTTTTGGTAGGCATTAGTTGCCTGTCTAGATGTGATATACAGTTGATTGAGATCTGTTCTGCTTTCGTCTGTCATTACTCATGATGATGGCTGCCAGCACTATAGTGTAGCAAGTGAAGCTGCCACCTGTGATTCAGCTGGCATTCCACATGGGTGCCAGTTCATGTTCTTGTTGCTCCACTTCTGATCCAACTCCCTGCTAATGGTCTGGGAAAAGCAGAAAAAGATGGCAAATGTTTGGGAGAACTGGAAGAAGCTCCTGGCTCCTGGCTTCAGCCGGTCCCAGCCTGGCCACTGCAGCATCTGAGTGTGAACCAGTAGTTGGAGGATCTTTCCCTACTCTCTACCTCTGTCCCCTCCTCCTTTACTTCCCTCCCTTTATGTAACTCTGATTTCAACTAAACAGATAAACCTTACAAATAATATTATTAATAATAATGAGGGCTATTTACTCATTGATTGTAAGTCACCTACTGTGAATCCTAAGGTGCCATTCAGTTCTTTGCTATAAAACAGGGTAATACCTGTTGTATGGAATAACCCATGTCACACACATATCTGGGAATAAAGCCTAATGTTAACCATGATCATCCTGAATTTTGAGTTTTTAATCTTTATTGCCATCCTTATTAATCATAATACAAGGAGAGGACAACATTTGACTTGATTTGAACAGTTTGTTATTTTTCAACTTAGGAGCCAGCTAGACATTAATAATAAGAAGAGTGTAACTGATTCAATCCGTGATGAATATGCTTTTCTTCAAAAGAAATACCCGTCTCTGGCCAACAGAAATGGGACAAAGTATCTTGCTAGAACTCTGAACAGGTAATACCTTTTGCCTTTTGGATTTAAGATGTTTTGTTTGCCTAGGAGGTGTTTGAGATTCACACCATTTTCAGTTTCTTATATTTCCATTTTTTTTCTTACTGTTTCACTTTGTTTTCTGTGTTGTAGGTTGTTGAAAAGACATCTCCGTTATCATTTGGGTGGTATACATTAAATCATGTAGTCTAGAAAGCCTAAATGAATTTTAAAATGTTTAAATTATGAACTTTTGATAATTTATGGTGATTTTAATTTTGAATTTTAGGAATTGAATTAAAATATATGATTTTCATATGAAATATTTTAAATTTAGAATGTCTTCTATATGTACTTATAGCAGAAATAATTTAAGTTGTAGGTGTAGGGACTAGAAACTCTTGCTAGATGATTTGTAAATGACTGAAATGAAAGTAGGTCAGTCTTCTTTTATTCCAAAGTGAATTCTGAGAAGGTTGGTTCTCACTGTGCTGGCCGCCACTGTACAAGTTAAGTCAGTGAAACCAAAACTAAACGGCTAGCACTGGCTTTGGTGGCCTAATTTTTTTATGGAAAATACAATAATGTAAAATTAATTTGGTTTTTAAACATATATTTGGCTTTCTAGCAGTTGGATAGAAGGTAAGTTTAAAAAGCAACAACCAAAAGAACTTTATGTCTTTTTCTTTTTCAGACTAAGGCTATACTTCCCAAATCTAAGACTGGATTAGTTCCTGCTCTTATTACCTAAGAAAATAAAGCAAAGTGCTTTTTCCTATCTCACCCATTTGCTTAACACAGCAGAGTGCTTCTCATACCAGATCTGTGGGTCTTCTCCCACACACATTAAATATGCCATTCTCCAGTGGATCCTAGCTGGGCGTCTTCTAATTCAACTCAGTTCTAACCCTGTTGACCTAGGGACAGCGTCACAAGCCATTGCTGGGTGTTCCATCCCAGGAGACTTGTCCTGTACTTGAGATGTCAGTTGGAAGCATCTAAGCCTGCGCATCTGACCTACTGGCTGTCAATGTCATCAGGTTGGATTAAGGGGTAGGGTTGTGCAGCTTGATTAGGTGGCAAAAGTAAAATTACTTTTATTTAAAATCTTACCACTGATAGCTATCTAGAAAAGTCCATGTGACGCACGAACTGTTTCAAAAACACTAAAATGAATTTTTACACGTTTCCAGAGGATACAGATGAAGAGCCAGAAGGAAGGGCTTGCACAGGGCAAGGTGTGTGGGGAAGGGCGTGAAGCCTTCATGCCGCCACTGGGAGCGCTGTTCTCAGAACACTCCTTGTGCAGCTCTGGAAGCTTCACACTCAGTCCTTGAGAGTTGCTGTGGAAGCTTCCTCCACAGGCATCATTAGTCACAGTACTAGCCGCTGTGTCCCTGCCCCAGAGCTGGGGAGTAAAGCTGAACATCCCAACCCTCTACTGCTGCCTTGGTCTTTCTGATGACTGCCCCAGCCACAAGTCATCTTATATACAAAATACATGTATCACAACAATACACCTGCCAAGAATAGCTGATTAACAAGTTTTCTCTCTTATTTGCATTTTAAAATGACTTGCTTTGGGTTTCCTAATAGGCACTCATACTTTAAAATTCTTCATTTCTAATGTTTGATAGGTTACTGATGCATCACATCAGAGATTGCTTACCAGAGCTGAAAACAAGAATCAATGTTCTGGCTGCTCAGTACCAGTCTCTTCTGAACAGTTATGGGGAGCCTGTCGATGACAAAAGTGCCACTTTACTACAGCTTATTACCAAATTTGCCACAGAATATTGTAACACGATTGAAGGAACAGCAAAATATATTGAAACTTCAGAGCTGTAAGTAAAACATGTTTCTATGGATTTGAATGCTTGGATTGCTAGGTCACCTTTTTTGGTCAAAGTAAAATTTAACATAGGTTATCTGACTTATTAACTATGAAATAGGAAAGCTTAACAGGACAAACAGAAAAAAAAAAACCAGAAATGGCATTTTGTAGAGATGATAAAATGCACCCTTTACCTCACCTCTTCCAGTGCACACACCTTGCTAACTAGCAAAGCAAGAAAATGCACATTGAAAAATCCATGGGACTTATCCAGTTCACCAGCCCGACTCCTTTGTATGTGTGGTTCTGTGTACCTTTGTGTAACTTAGGTGGTCTTTCGTATGAGTTAATTCCATAAGTATATCTTTTATATATTTGTGTGTGTGCCAAGTAGAAGGAAATAAATGTTACTACACTGGTTCTTTAAGAAATATAGTGGATATGAGGCTTAAATGGCAACAGCATAGCTATTCTATGTCTGAAGAAGTACATACAGCATATTTGGATAGTTTCACAGAGGTAAGGAATCAGCTATCTGTGTCCATCTAATCAAGGGTTTGGGACATGCATGAGACCATTTATGTTTGGTGCTGGGAGAGTGCCAGGTTGAGAAGACGTTTGAGCTGTGCTCCAGATGGAATTTGGAAAGCCCAAAGGAGAGGGCATTGGGGTTTGGGAACATTGGAGAATAGGACACATGCAGTTGGAGGAAGGCAGATACCATGAGGGACGTAGCAGAGGTGGCAGGGAGCAAAACTACAGTCCTGAATACTGTGCTGGCGATTTGAAAACTTCTTACTGTAAAAACTAAAGCTCTTTCAGTCAGAACAGTGATCCAGTTGTAAGGAGAGGGGAGAGGTTAGCAGCCGAGAGACCAGTTACTATTAAATGTGACTGTTTTTAGGGGCACAGTATAGTCTCATTAATTCATTCATACTATTTTATAACCATCCTTAACAGCTATGTCCAAAATTTTTTATTACCTCAACAGCAGTTGTATGCAAAGCAACTATCCTACATTCTTCCCCAGTTCCTGGTAACTTATAATTTATTTGCTACCTCTGTGAATTTATCATTTATAGATTATGCCATATAAGTGAAATCAGACTATCATGTGGTGCATGACTTATTTCAGTTAGTGTAATATTGGACTACTAGTACATTTTGCTTAATTTAACTACCATAGAAAAGTACCGCATAGTGCTGAAAACACAGAGGAAGGGATAATCTGAGGACGTATACAGTTCAACCAGAGTTTCTTGTTATTACCCAGGAGAGGGAAGATAAGCTGCTCAATCCTGAGGTCAGAGTTTCTCCAGGGCAGGAAATGGCGCACCAGCTAAGAATGATTTTTACAGGCTGGTATTGTGCTCTGGTTGGTTAAACTGCCATCTGAGATACCGGCATCCCAGACAGGTGCCGGTTTAAGTCCCACTGGGAATATTTTGTGACACAGGGACGTTATATAAAACTCAGATTTCAGTGTGCTTAGATTTGTTGGTAACTGGTGGCCTGCTGACTGGTTTACAGAATTGTCTCGCTGTTTTATGCTTCACGGCTGAGGTAAATGGTTGCCACAGCCTGAAACTCCCAAAAGTACTTACTGTGTGGCCTTTAAGAATGAAGTTTGCCAACCTCTATTCCGGATTGTTAATCACAGAATTAAGGCAGTTCCTTGAGGAGTTTACAGGCTAATTGCAGAGAATTAGAGAAGGTGTAACACAATTCTTAACTGATATTTTATGTCAGAACAGTCATCATACAAGAAATTATGTATATTATTCATGAAATGACTTCTTTCCCAGTTAAAACAAGTTCGGGATAGTCCAAATTGAGAACCCCTGGAAATGGGGAGGAACTAAATATAGATGTTTATCTGAGTCTTAGAGAATTGATTATTTGGTTCAATCTTAGAGAATGATTTAGATGAAAGACTTAGTGACAAAGATCTTCATCCACTGGTTTAATCCCCAAATGGTCACAGTTGCCTGGCCTGAGCAGGTGAATTCTGGAGCCTGAACTCCATCTGGGTTCCACTTGAGTCCCAGGGACTTGCCTGCTGTCTTCCCAGCTGCATGGGAAGTGGAATAGCTGGCACTTGAGCTAGCACTCCCTTACAGGATCCTGGCACTGTGGGCAGCAGTATACCTCTCTGTGCCACAGTACCCCTAGGATGGATTTTAAATTTTAAAACTGAGAAAACAACTTTTAACTTGCAGATCCTTAAAGATAATGCTAAAAAGCATATATTTGATTGCCTTTCAGATGTGGAGGTGCTAGGATTTGTTATATTTTCCATGAGACTTTTGGGCGAACCTTAGAATCTGTTGACCCACTGGGTGGCCTTAACACTATTGACATTCTGACTGCCATTAGAAATGCTACTGTGAGTATGTTCGACTTTCGTCTTAGAAAGATGCAGTTAAAACTTTTTTTTAACCCATATATATTGTAAATTGTAAAGTTTATTTTGTCCATATACTTAACTTTTAGTGAATTATAACAATGTGATTCAAATTTTAAACTCTGGGAAGAATGGAAATTACATGCAGCTATAATAAGAGTCCTAAGTTGATTTTTTCAGGGTCCCCGTCCCGCTTTGTTTGTGCCTGAAGTTTCCTTTGAGTTACTGGTCAAGCGGCAGATCAAACGTCTAGAAGAGCCCAGCCTGCGCTGCGTGGAGCTGGTTCACGAGGAGATGCAGAGGATCATCCAGCACTGCAGCAACTACAGCACACAGGTCAGCGGGAGCAGGCTGGGGGGGAGGGCAGGCTGGGGGACGGTAGGCTGGGGGAGGGCAGTGGGGGCCTGTCTCCAGGTGGGAGCACACAGGTCAGCGGGAGAGGGGCTGGGGCTGGCGAGGGGAGGGCAGGTCCCGGGCGGGGGGTCCTGTCTCCAGGTGGGAGCACACAGGTCAGCGGGAGAGGGGCTGGGGGGGAGGGCAGGTCCCGGGCGGGGGGCCCTGTCTCCAGGTGGGAGCACACAGGTCAGCAGGAGAGGGGCTGGGGCTGGCTGGGGAGGACAGGCAGGGTGGGGACGGCAGGCAGGGGAGGGGCCCTGTCTCCAGGAGGGAGCACAAGATGGGCTAAGTAGTCTGTAGCTTCCTTACCCAAAACTTATTTGAAATTATATTCTTAAATGTAACTTCCAAAGCTTCATTTAGCACATCAGTGACTAGTTTAACCCCAAAGGAAATACGTTATCATGCTTTTATTACTTCTGTTATATACAGGAATTGTTACGGTTCCCTAAACTTCATGATGCCATAGTTGAAGTAGTGACTTGCCTTCTGCGTAAAAGGCTGCCTGTCACAAATGAAATGGTGAGCTACTGTGTCACTGTCATGTGTACTCAGCATTAATACAAGTCATACAGCATGTTCTGGTTTAGGTGTATTTTCCAGCATATTGGGAGGAAAACGAAGTGAATAATGCTTGTAAAAATGCATTACTTCATATTTGAACCTGCAGCCACAGTTTTTCATGAGAATGAAGTTACTGTAGAAGGTTATGACTAGCATTATTCTAGTATGTATTTTAATGAGAAATGGTTTCCTTGTGTTGAGGCATAGTGGGTAGAGGCCTGGCCCCTAATGTGCCTGGGAAACAAGTGGTGGGTGCTAAGTGCCTGGGCCCTTGGTCCCACTTGGGAGACCCAGAATAACCTGGCTGCTGACTTCAGACTGCTCCAGCCCTGACCACTGCGCCCTTGTGGGGAGTGAGCTTGCACACAGATCAGACTCTCCCCAGCTCTCTCTGTGACTCTGCCTTTCAAGTAAATAAATAAATATATTTTTAAAAAGAGATGTTAAAGTCTGTTTACTTGAAAGGCAGGGTGACATGAAAGGGGGCTGGTTTACTTCCCAAATGCCTACAACAGCAAGGCCTGGACCATGTTGGAGCCGTGAGTCAAGGACTCTGTCTGGGCCTCCTGGGCCTCCCGCATGCATGGCAGGGACTTAAGCACTGGGCCCGTCGCCTGCTGCTGTCCCAGGTGAGTGAGCAGAGCTGCACGGGAAGCACAGTAGCCACAGGACTCAAACCAGATACGAGTACGGGATGTGAATGTCCCAAATGGCAGGTCATTCAGTCACATCTCAATACTCGCCCCGCATCCCCCGGTTTCATTTATTATTAGTTTCTGTATTAGTACCCAAATCTTAATTAAAAAAAAATATTTATCTGTAAAGTAAATCAGAGTAATCTGACCACTTCTCCAGTTTGAGGACTTTATAATTACACACTCCTCCCCCAAAAAGAAACATAATTTTAGATGCTGAAATGTAAATAACTTAAAAGCTAGAGTGAATCACTGTTTGGTCTAAGACTTGCTGGTTAGAGAGTATTTATCTACATGAGTTTCTTGTAATCTCATTATGTTTAGTATTGCCATGTTAGATTTATGTATATGTTCCTGAGAGTAAAACTGAGTTAACATGTTTTTGTGTTTTTTTTTTTTTTTCCTTCTAGGTCCATAACTTAGTGGCGATTGAGTTGGCTTACATCAACACAAAACATCCAGACTTTGCTGATGCTTGTGGGCTAATGAACAATAATATAGAGGTATATGCAGTTTGAGTTCTTTTTTTCAGAGATAGAAACTCAGTTATATCAGACTTATTTAACATAACAATGAAACAAACAGGTACCATATTAGTGCCTGTTGTATGCCAGGAAATATGCTGAGGGTGAAACATTATCTTAATGGAAGCATTATTCTTATTTTATGCTTAAGGAACTGAAATAAAAGAAATCTAAAATTCGCTATTTACTGTTGAAGACTGACTCGCTTCATTTCAGTAACTGTTGCAGTTTACTGAGCTTGAAGTGCATGAACAAAGTGAAGGTCTGAGGTTATTTTCCTTTGTTCTGAAGGAAGCGTCCAGGGATTACTCATGAGTTTTGAACAGCAGAGTCCTCTACGGGGAAGAGGCACGCACAGCTCTCCTCGTACCATGTGACGTATGTGTAACAAGCTGCATTGGGAGACCTCAGTGGGCACCGAGTCTGCTGCTTAGAACACCTCGCCCACACGCTTTTTTTTTTTTTAAGGTTGCTTTATTTGAAAATCAGATTTGGAGAGCAAAAGAGAGCTTGATCAATCTTCCATCTGCTTTCTCTTTCTCTACCTTTCAAACAAAATAAAAATTAAAAGTTTAAAAGCTGTACATTTAATAATGTATTTTAAAAATTTGTGCATCTATGTCATGTTTAATCATTGGGTAACTCCATGAAAGTCGGTCAACTTTTTTTTTTTTTTTTTAAGATTTTATTTTTTTTTATTGGAAAGGCGGATATACAGAGAGGAGAGACAGAGAGGAAGATCTTCCATCCGATGATTCACTCCTTAGGCAGCCGCAACGACTGGAGCTGAGCCAATCCAAAGCCAGGAGCCTGTTCCAGGTCTCCCACGCGGGTGCAGGGTCCCAAAGCCTTGGGCCGTCCTCGACTGCTTTCCCAGGCCACAAGCAGGGAGCTGGATGGGAAGCGGGGCTGCCATGATTAGAACCGGCGCCCATATGGGATCCCGGGCGTGTGAGGCGAGGACCTTAAGCACTGCGCCATTGCGCTGGGCCCTGGTCAACTTTTTGTCAAAAAACTTTTTATCAGCTTGAGAATATGAATACTTTCTCTTTAAAAGTAATGTTGACCTTTTTTAGCTTAAATGCTTTTCTGTGGATGATGGTTAGCATCTGTATTCTGTATCATCTTCCTTCATCTGCTGTGGTCCTTGGCCATGGCTTCTTCGGCTCTGTGCCAGACTGACTTAGGTGATCCTGGCGAGTCAGCAGAGCAGCATCAGGCCTGCCCTTGGCAGCATTTCTTCCTGGAGCACTCAGGATAAAGAAAACAGGACCAAGGCCTGGTGTGGCAGCATAGTGGTGGCTAAATCCTCTCCCCTTCAAGCACTGGGATTACATACAAGTGCCAGTTCATGTCCTGGCTGCTCCACTTCTCATCCAAGTTCTTTGCTTGTGGCCTAAGACAGCAGTCGAGGACGACTCAAAGCCTTGGCACCCTGCGTGGGAGACCTGGAAGAGGCTCCCGGCTTTGGGTCGGCTCAGTTCTGGCCATTGCAGTCACTTGGGGAGTGAAGCAGAGGATGGAAGATCTTTCTATTCTGTCTCTCCTCTCTGTATATCCTGCCTTTCCAATAAAAATAAATCTTTAAAAAAAATATAGAAACAAAAAGAGAAAACAAGATTTTTATATAAGCTCAATCAGAGGAACTTCTCCAGTCATGGTTTTGTCAGGTATAGCTGTATGAGTTTAACACATAGGTTTGAAGGAGAGATACTTCTTAAGTCTTCTCTCATGAGTATGTGAAACTCTGCATGGTATGCTGAAAGCTAATGCTCACAATTTCTGGGGGAAGTTAACTTTTTTTTTATCTTTAAAGATTTATTTTCAAATGAAAGGCAGATTTAGAGAGGAGAGACAGAAAAATCTTCCATCTGCTGGTTCACTCCCCAAGTAGCTGTAGTGGCTGGAACTGAGCCAATCTGGAGCTGGGAGCCAGGAGCTTTTTGGTGTCCCAAATGTGTGCAGGGTCCCAAGGCTTTGGGCCATCCTCTGCTGCTTTCCCAGGCCAGAGAGAGCTGGATGGGAACTAGAGCAGCTGGGATACCCACTGGAGCCCACATGGGATGCTGGTGCTTGGAGGTTGATTAGCCAATTGAGCCATTGCGTTGGCCCCTGAAATTACTTGTAACTGATTTGGAAAGGGAGTCCCTGGTATGGTTATTTCAGGTGCATTGGGCACAATAAAGAATTGCAGCTTTGGGTTAAATTTTGTTTTTCAGATTTATTTACTTGAAAGGCAGAATGACAGAAAGGGAAAGACGGAGGTCTTTGACCCACTGCTTCACTCTCCACATGGCTTCAGTGGCCAGGAAGGGGCCAGAACAAACCCAGGAGCCTGGGACTCCAAGGGCCAAGCAGTTGGGCCATCTTCTCTTGCATTCCCAGACATACAGTCATAAGCTGGATTGGAAGTTGAGCAGCTGAGACTTGAATTGGAGCCCTGATACAGGATGTCAGCATCATAGGCAGTGGCTTAACTTGGCTCCTCACTTGTTTTAAAGTATTTTGGCATAAATTCCAACATGGAAGGCTCGATCTATAAGCCTTTCTGTACTTCAATTAAAATGAACATTTCTTAAGTAGGTCTGTATCCAGCAATGTAGTAATTACTCTTGTTTTGCTTGGTTGTGCTTTGTAGGAACAAAGGAGAAATAGACTAGCAAGAGAATTACCTTCAGCTGTATCACGAGACAAGGTAAAAAAACATTTTTTAAAAGCTTGTTTCGTTACTCAGTGATGCGCTGCTAAGCCTCAGATACCATTCAGTCCTGCTGAGTAATAACTAATTTTAAAACTCCATAGGAGCCATGTAATCAAGCAAAGGTATGCAAAGATGTCTTAAAATAGTATTATTTTGAATACAATGAAATGAATGCTTAGAAGTGGCTTTTAATTGGTAAGCCACTTTTTTACATAAAAAATTGTTATGTGGCTTTATCAACTCTGTAAAACTAGTTGAAATGATTAGTGATTTCAGTAAGGAGTATTAGAAGGGGGAAAAATACATACATGAGCAGTTCCTAATTATCAGCAATACCCATGATAACTGCATATGTTAAAGTGTATTAAAAAATCTGTAACCTTGAGTTCTTGGCAGAAAAAGGTCTTACAGTCAAGTTAAAACCAAAGTTTTGGATTTTTCTTAGAAATTCTATATAAACTTTTAACAAAGGTGGTAATGGTGTGTAAATAAGGCAGAATACCATTTTATCTCCCATGATTACTTTGTTTTCCATGTGACTTTATTACAGAGGGAAACATTTTCACATTTACAGAGAATTTCTGAATGCATTTTGGCATCCTTGATTTTTTTTCCCTGCATTTTTTGCCTTTAGTCTTCTAAAGTTCCCAGTGCTTTGGCACCTGCCTCCCAGGAGCCCTCGCCTGCTGCTTCTGCTGAGGCCGATGGCAAGGTCTGTTCTGACTGTGAATCTAAGCCTGCATGCCTAGTTATGTGGAAGGAATAACCCTGACTAGAAGAATTTTACTATGGGATTTGGTGCTAAGGTCAGATCATTGCAATCTAAGAAAATTTTAAATTACCTAACAATGCATACTTTATAATAAAACATTGCTGATACGCTTTTGCTTGCAGTATAGAAGGGTGCACGTAGAAAAATAAGTAAAGAGAAAATTATCCTGATCTTTTAAAATTTCAAGCCAGTGGTATTTAAGTTCTGCTTGTTAAATTGCATGTTTTAACGTATCTTTTAACAGTTAATTCAGGACAGCAGAAGAGAAACTAAAAATGTGAGTCTCATGCTTCAGATGGAAATGTTAGTCCCAAAACACTGTGTTCTAACCCACCGAGAGCCCATCTGTACAGCGGCCTCTGTCTGTGTTGTGTTAATGTCCCTCTTAGCTAACCTCAGACTACAGCACTAGTTGTAGCAGTCTTAATTCCTAACCATAGGCGTTCTCGGTTTCTCTCACCTTGAGAACAGGCTGGGATTGAGTCTTTTGGTAGAGACGGGGTTGTGCTCCGGGAGAACTGTCCCATACTAACGAGTAACCCTCCAACGCTCCTCTCCTAAACTTCCACTGTACTACACAGCTTCAGTGTGCTTCTGCTGCTTAAGCGAGTTCTACACAAACGCTTAGGGAAAAATTAAACCATGTGCAAATCATTCAGACCCACCCATATTTCTAGTTTTTCTGCTGTAGTTCCTTTGCTTGCTTTTGTCCAGACTGACACTTCTGTCTTTCAGCACTCTCTATGGAGTGTTACCTTCTCTGTGTTAAGAGATCATCTAATCATTACACAAGTTGTATTTCATTCATGGCATCACAGCACATGTGCTCATTTTCCTTAAAATTTCATTTGTTATTCATGTAGAGTTAGCAAGTACTTGAAATATAATTATTTATATTCACTTGAAATATAATTAATGTATTTAAATTGATGTATAATATACTACCTTTATTTAGATGCTGTTCACCCTAACATTTTAGATTCTGGCTGGCATTTCAGTTTAGAATAATGCCCCAAACTTCTGTCTTTACCATTATACCCTTCTTCTGAACTTACATAGCCCATTTTAAGTTTTTATATTTGTCTATTCATTTCTGAAAGAGGGAGAATCTTCCAGTCTCGTGGTTCACTGCTCAGATAGTTCTAATGGCAACACTGAAGCCAGGGGTTTCTTGCAGGTCTCCCGCATGGGCACAGGGGCCCGGGTTCTTGGGCCATTTCCACTGTTTCCCCCATGTGATGACCAGGGAGCTGGTCCACAAGTACAGCAGCTAGCACACAATTGCTGGCTGGCGCTGGCAGCAGCTCTTGCCCTTTGCCACAAAGCTGACCTAAGGTTCCCAGATCTTTAGAATTCTTCCTATTTTCCTGATAATTCATTAGTGTTTATTTTGAAGAAATTAAACTGAATAGCAGCCCCCTTTTTTCCCTTATTTCTGCTTTTATTTTTAGGGAAATTATACTTTTTTCACAATCTAGCATTTGAGGGGTGGAATGATAAACAGGCTGAAATCTTACATAGGTCCTAAATTGGCGGAAGCACAGCAAATAATTGTTTAGATGCTAGCTCAGGGATCCAGTAATATGTGACTGCTTCTCTTTCACCCCATCATGTGTCTGAATAGATGAAATTCTAGATGGGTACAGGATGTGTGTTCTTGACTTTTGTCACAGGAATCCACCTTTGTTTAATTCATGTTCCACGTAATGTGGTTGGTACAGGTTTGGGGACATGTTTTCCTCAGGTCACAGCTGGAGCTGGTGGAGTTGGAGACAGTGCCCAAGAACCAACAACAGGCAGCTGGAGGGGAATGCTGAAAACCTCCAAAGCTGAAGAACTGTTAGCTGAAGAAAAATCCAAACCGATTCCCATCCTGCCGGCCAGTCCCCAGAAGGGCCACGCCGTGAACCTGCTGGATGTGGTAAGCCACTCGAGCCTTCTGTCTGGGAAGAGCATCACACCAACAGTGGACACTTCCAAAGAGATGATGAACTATAACTTTCAGAACTCATTTTAACTTTTGAATGCTAAATGTTGCCACTTCAACATGGCACTAATCAAGTCTTTTATCCCCCACTTCACTTTTAGCCGGTTCCTGTTGCACGAAAACTTTCTGCGCGTGAGCAGCGAGACTGTGAGGTTATTGAACGACTAATCAAGTCCTACTTTCTTATTGTCAGAAAGAATATTCAAGACAGGTGAGTACTGCTTCACAGTGTCACTGTAAATGCTGCGGGGTGAGTCCTTTGTCGGTGTGGGTGACACAGGTATTGTTTTTCCTGGCCAGATGGATTCTGGTTGTCTCTGGGTCGCGGGCAGAGCGGGACTCGGACCGTCTGCCGGCGTAGTGGAGACCCCGAGGTGCGCCGCACTCCTACCTGGCAGTCATGACCTCAGATGCCTCAGATCATGTTTCTTCTAAATTATTTTGGCTGGTTAATAATGCCTTGCCTTTTTAGTTATTTTACTGTACAGAGGAATAAAGAGCACACGGCACCAGGGATTCTGTCTGGAGTCCTTGCTCATTCAGCCTGTTTCATACTGTGGCCTGAGGAAACATTACAGGCTTGACCAGCTTTTGTCTCTGGGTTTGTGAGGGAAAAAAAAAATGTCACCCATATACATAAAATTGACCTTTTTGGAAGCAGCTTTTGCAGTGGTTTTAGTAGCTCCAGAGCTGCACCTTGCCCCTCAGAAGACCCTGCATCCACTTGGCGCTCCGCACCCTCTGTGGCTTTGCCTGCTCTGGGCAACCCCTCTAAGGGGTCGGAGCGGGACCACGAGCAGGGCTCTAAGTCCCTGTAATCCTTTCACTAACTGTAGCGTGAGTCAGCACTTCACTTGTTTTTATACCACATTTAGTTATCCATTCATTCATTCATTGATATTTAATTCATGTTCACTGTAGAGTGTTAAGTAATAATGATAGATGAGATCAAAGAAGATAAATGATCAATAATTGTGGCTTTTTGTATTACTAATTATAATTAGGCAAAAATCAATACAGTATTATTTATATTTATTTTTAAATGTAGAAATGTGGCTAACACTTCATAATTTTGTTCTGTTTTGCAGTGTGCCAAAGGCAGTAATGCATTTTCTAGTTAATCATGTGAAAGACACTCTTCAGAGCGAGCTAGTGGGACAACTGTACAAATCCTCCTTACTGGATGACCTGCTGACGGAGTCGGAGGACATGGCGCAGCGCAGGAAAGAGGCCGCTGACATGCTAAAGGTCCGAGTGTGAACTCATGGAGTTTCACCACGATACAGCTTCACACAGTTTCTCATGCATTCGGATTCCTGCGTTTGTAAACTTTGTTGAATTCAAATTTCTCAGATAACTTACTGGTTAAGATATAAGCCTGCCACATACAAACTAGAGAAATTTACTTCACAGATTTCAGGTTGTTTTCCTAACTTGATAGCATATTAACTTTTTTTTTTTTCAATGCAGGCTTTACAGGGAGCCAGTCAAATTATTGCTGAAATCCGAGAGACTCATCTTTGGTGAAGAGGACTCAGAATACTGAGACTGTTGATGAATCCTGCTGGTTACTGCCTCCTGGAGTAGAAGTTTATTTATGAACTGTGTGTTTGCAGTGGTACGAATCTGCTCATTGTGAAGACTGGCTATAAATGGAAACATATACCATGTATGCAGAACAAATCACACATTTAACCCATATAATAAATGGCTGTTTCTACATTTTCCAGTATGTATAAAATACATCAAGTCCATCCTGTGGCAGTTTCCTTTGAACTTAGAGAGAACTGTAATGTCTAGCCTAGTGTCAGCTGTGCAGGCAGTCTGCCTGTGGATCAGACAGCCTGTGTAAGCTGTTAGTAGTCTCAGGCTGCTGCCATGGTCCTTCAAGGGGAGAGGCACCGAGGCCCCATTTCATATGGCTGTGTTGCATGTCCTCTGTAATAGCTGGCTTTCCAATGTGGGTGACAACCTCCTCCTTAGAATCCCGCACTCTGTCTGTCCCTCCCCCGCTGAGTACAGTTGTAGTCCTGAGCTTCTCTACAGCCACTGAGACATTAGTCAGAAAGCTGAATGCATGGGGGAGTGCACACTGTGTAGTCACGGGGCCCTTCCAGGTCAGGTCTGCTGCATTAAAAATTAAAATCTTCATATGCAATGTCCTGCTAATAACGCTCAATTAATAAGACCTGGTAATAATGGCCAGTCCCTTCTTGTTAAAGGACCTCATGATGGCCAACCGATATTCCTTTTAGTCTGCAGCTATAGCTGTGCATCAAGATATACCAGGCTCCATGATCCACTCTGAGATGGGCCCTCAGAGCAGAAAATCCTGTTGATTCTTAATTTTGTTTACAGCTACTTCTGCTTCCTGTGAAAACACCTGTGAAGCCTTCTGGACACACCCTCCTGAAGGCTTACAGTTCACAGTGCACTGAGGAAGGGGCAGGTTAGAATACAGACATTTTATGAAAAGACCCCAGGTGATTTTTGGGATAAAACACATTGCAAATTTTAAGATATGAATAGAAATCTTTAAGATATGTAGTTTCATTTTTCTCCAACAGGTAACACATTAAACAAATATATAATGCAGATACTACCTATCTGTAAAGGACTCTTGGCAGGCAAAATATGATGTACTACCTTTAGTTCTATGGTACCCAAGATTCATGGAAACAGCAGCCTCGGCAACTGATTTCAAATGTGTCTGGTATGTGATGGCACTAATTTAAATTGTTAACAGCACCATCCTGAGAGCACCAAAACGTTTGCTGAGATGCTTAAAAATCACCATGTCATTCAACATCCGTTCTGAAATTATAGCCATCTATGAGTTATGTTTTTTAGACAGTAGATCAGATGACCGCCAATCTAGCCTTGCAGATTGGTAAGGGAAGACATCTTCAACCAGATTATAACTGAAAGCGTCAGCTTTAAAGACATGCCATGGTAATGCCCTTGCTAGCACTACACACTGTACAAAGAAAAACAGAGGCAAAAAACGATGTAAAGGGAATAAACCTTCCTGTGTGAAGTCCTGGGATGTAGAGACGATCTCTGACATGACCTGTATGTTCTTGCTGTGTAAATAAAATTGTTGGTATGAAATGACATCGAAGTCTAAATTACTTTTAGACTTTTCTCCTAGAGAAAGGTTTAAGCTGTAGCTTTTTAGCATCTCAGTTTACCAGATTCTATCAGCACTGCTAATACTACACCAAAAGAGGTTTTCCCATTATATTTGATTCCTGTCACTACTCAGTATTCTGCTTCTGAAGTCCCAGTGGCTGCCTGAGGGTCTTCAGAAGCCAGCCCATCTATCCCTGCATGTCTCTCTCCATCTTTGGGATAACAGAGATGTATTACCTTGGTGTTTCAGATGTGATGATGGCTCTGGATAACAACCTGCCTGAATTTACTGAAAACTTCTTTTACCTGGCTACTTTAATACACTCATGGGTGCAGTGGGTGCCGTTTGCCTCACGTTGTAATCAGCTTGGGGGCATAAAGAAAAATTTAAGAAACAAGTTTCTTAAGTTTATAAAGTCTTGCTATCTAAAGAAGCCCCTATGAATAAACAGAATCATGCTGAAACATAGGCTAGGGCCTAGAAAATAGATACTTTGTGAAAAGCCCAGTACTGACTTGTACCCTGAAGAAACTTTGCACTTTCCGTGCCAGCTATGACATTGTCTAATTTTTTTAATAAGAAGATCTGCAATTCCTTCAACAACAAAAATAACCAGAAATGAACATTCCCAACCCCAATTTCCCCACTCTGACACGGACACTTGGAGGTACTGCTCCCTGCCACCTACCTGACAGGGCAGTGTGCAGCATGCCTCAACATCATCCCCAGGAGAGCTAGAGTGTGGGAGAGGAAAGGCAGTAGCTTCCGTCAGCAGGTGCAACTGCAAAGAGAGGTAGGCCCTGGCAATCAGGGTTATCTCAGCAGTCCTGGGTGGTGTGGTCAGAAAGAAACTACCCCATCATTAAACAACACCTTATTTATTAACCAGCCCATAAAAATAATGAGACTACTTACACTGCAAGGCCTTAGTGTACAGTCCAGCTTCTTGCTCTGACTTGCAAAAGCCAAGGCATAAATTATGGAGCCAACCTTTCTTATCCTTCCAGAGTGAAAACGGGCAAGTCAGAACAGGATGATTCTTCATCATAGCTGAAGCCATTTTATGATGTAGAAGTTCCTTTTCCCTATTTTAAGTAGGGAAAGTCCATTCTTGAGAATGTGCTGTCCCACAACCAGAACGCTCTCAGGATTTGTGACTTGTCTGTGATTTATGCTGACTCCACCTTCTGTTATCATCTTGTACCTGGAAACAGAAGGGCGTGTTACTACAGAGGCATCGCTGCTGCTTCATTGCATTTCACTTCAGTTTCAGAAGCTGACTAGTTACTCTCTTCCATCTGCTGGTTCACTCCCTAGATGGCCACAATGGCTAGAGCTGGAGCTCATCACATGTAAGGGCTGGGAACCAGGAACCTCCACGTCTCCCATGTGGTTGCAGGGGCTCAAGGAGTTGAACCACCCAACACTGCTTTCCCAGGCTATTGGCACGGAGCTCAATGGGAAGTGGAGCAGCTGGGATACAAACCGGCACCCATATAAGACGCCAGCACCACAGGTGGTGGATTAGCCTGATAAACCACGGCACTGGCCCCACACTTTTCCTTCTGCCCGTCACCAGCCTTTTCAGACGGGTATGAAAAAGGCTCCTATCGGGTCTGTGACGTGGGTTGTGGCAGACACCCAAGGGTCCACCACAGGTTCACTTCATTGTCAGAAGCACCAATGAAGGAAACAGGCTGGGGAGCCTTCCCCCCCTGACAGGACAGGGTCACGGGGCCTGGGCCTGTTTCTGTGAGCTCATCCCTGAGCTGACCGAGCCAGCTGTGTCTACTCAGCTGCAGCACAGCCACAGGGCGGGGAGTACCGTGCTCTCCAGACAACAGAAGGCATCACGGTCTACGTGTGTTGGAACGACGCAACCTCTTCAAGGAACAGGATGCTGTGAGAGCTCTGTGAAGGAACACCCTCTCGGCAACGCGTGCTATGCACCCCCTGGAGCCAAGCTCACCATGACCCCGAAAGTGCCCTCCTCCTACCCTCGGGGGCCGTCCGGGATGGCGTTGGCTTTGCGGCATGTGTCCAGCACACTTGTTCCAGGGTCAAGAACCAGCTCAGAGAACGAAGCTTCTTTAAACAGCTCCTTTAACTCCTCGTCAGACATGACCTCCAGTGCGTCGATGCTGCTGTGGTAGAGGGCTCGGGTGCACCTGCAGCACACAGTGATGCACGCATGACCAAGCGCTTAGGCAGACGCACAGCCCCACGCCCGCTGACAGAGAACGGGAGGTGACATGTGCTAGGCTGAACTTCGGGAAGAACAACACGGATCCATCTAATTCAATCATTCTTATTATGATGTAATGAAAATGTGATATTTTATATTACATATAAAACATAAAATATATCACATAAAATCTGCATTATATATCACAAATAATATACTGAATAAATATATAATATGCAAAACAATTATGTAATATATAATTACTATATATTAAAATGTATGTTAAATATGAGTAATTAATCACAAATGATAAAGGAAACATCTGTTACTATAAAATAATAAAAATAATTATAATTTAAGTAACTAATTCAAGCTCATCTTTCTGTCGGGTAAATGCACTGCACTGTCAAACTCTGACAGCAGCAGCTGCCAGAGGCGAGTGATGGGCTGACCGCAGCGGGCGCTGCTACCTCTTGGCGGAGTCCAGGCCCTCCCGGCCATGGACCAGCTTCGTGACCTCGGCGGCTAGGCGCTTCTGAGGAGTCCGCTTCTCCGGCTCTTTCTGGTGCAGCTGCATGAGATGGTCAATCTCCGAAAGGGGCAGGAAGGTGAAGAGCTTCAGGTACCTCAGGGACAAGAAGCCAGGGACTCATTCACGTGGCATGCCTCAGGTCTCCACCAGCTCTCCTGCTCTAGGAATATCCCGCTGCTTATCTGTTTGAACTATGAAACGTAGATGTGTAGCAGTGCACGCCCAGTGACAGCACACTAGCTGGTGTTGTCCCCGTTTCCTGGTGGGCACTGTGGCAGCGTTCCCTCCCTCACTCATCTCCAATGGAGGGCGCCTTTCCACAGCAGTGACAAGTGCACTGTCACAGCCTTTTCTCTGCTGACACAGAACGCACAAAGGGACAGACGCCAGGAATAGCTGTAAGAACCCTCTTAAGAAAACTTATATTGAACTTGCATCGCAGTTAAGAAACACAACCCTGAGGCCAGTGTGGTGGTATATCAGGCTAATGCCCTGCCTGCTGTGCCAGTAACCCATATGAGCATCAGTTCTAGTCCTGGCTGTTCTACTTCCTGTCCTGGCTGTTCCAAATCCAGCTCCCTGCTTATAGCCTGGGAAAGCAGGGGAGGATAGCCCAGCTTGGGCTCCTGCACCCATTTGACAGATCCGGAAGAGGTTCCTGACCAGGCCAGCTCTGACTTGTGGCCATCTGGCGAGTGAACCAGTGGATGGAAGAGCTCCCTGTCTTTCCCTATCTCTCTGTAACTCTTTCAAATAAAAATCACAAGACTCTTAATAAAACAAACAAACAAACAAAAAGACATACAACCCTGGCTGTATGAGACCCAAAGCCACACGCTGCAGATCCTGCAGGGACCCTGCCATCCTGCCTCCCGAATCTCTTCTCTGTTCTCATTTCATGTCAAGAAGTGTTCATGACTGCACAGAAGTGACACATCCAAATCTTTTTTTGTGGTTGGCCCCCAGGACATGTCAGCCTGTGGGGCAACCCAGGCGTGCCACTGTGTGCCCAGCACTCCAGGTGTTGACGCATCCCACCTGAGGTGCACTGCGCGAAGGCAGCAGCGAGGTGAAAGGCTGGGTGTAGTCGCCTTGGCAAGCACTGCGCTTCCCCGGGTCTCTCGGCCCCTCGGACACTCTCCCCAGCACCCGCCCCCATCAGCTCTGTGCTCAGTCGTTCTGCAGTGTGCCACCTCACTTGTGCTTTGTTGCTTTTTCCTCTGCATTACCGAGGATCAATAAGCTGCTGGCCGACTGTATGGGATCTCTGTGACAAGCCTGTTCAAGTCCCTGGCCAGGTTTCTGCTGCACTGTCTTTTTTGTTGATTTACAGAAATTTATATGCATTTGAATGTGAGCTCGTTATCTGTTAGCTAAAGTGACCTTAAAAATACTTTCCCAAGAGCCCAGGTCTGTGGTGCAGCACGTTAAGCTATTGTTGGCAGCACTGGCATATTGTATGAACCCAGGTTCAAGCCCAGCTGCTGCTCCAGTTCCCTGCTAATGTGCCTGGAAAAGCAGCAGCAGATGGTCTAAGTGCCATTCAGTGGTGTTTCTGATGAACGGAGCTTAATTCTGACTTAGTCTGGTTTATTAATCTTTCCTTATGCCCAAGTCCTAAAGATGCTTTCCTATTTATCTTCTAAAAGATTGGTTTAAGAAAAATATTTTTTTGAAAAGCAAAGTTAGATACAGAGGGAGAGTCAGAGAGAGCACTTCCATCTACTGTTTCACTCTCCAACTGGCCGCAATGGCTGAGAGCTGGGCCAGCCCCAAGTCAGGAGCTTCTTTCAGGCCTCACATGCAGGCTCAGGGACCCATGGCCCTGGATCTTCCTGTACTGCTTTCCCGGCCATTAGAAGGGGGCTGGAAGTGGAGCAGCTGAGGTTTGAACCGCACACACGAGAGGGTTTGGCTTCTATTATAAATGAAAGTGCATAAGTTCCTTGCACTGATGTCTGTGCACAGCACATAATGCTGTGTGCCCGAGACCTCTAACTCTCCAAGTGGGTCAGCAGGCCAGCCTCACCCACAGCTGCACTGCCTCCTTTGTCAGAGACAGAGGGAGCAGGTAGAAGGCATCTCTGGGTATCAAACAAGGAGGAATTATGCAGCTTTTTTGTAAGTCTCACTTTCATGAACTTGTTTGAAGACATCTCATATCTGAGTCTGAATTCTCTAATCTAACTTGCTGGTCTTTATATATCTATATCTGTATCTATATCTATAGATATTTCCAGAGACTCAGGGATTTCCCTTCCCATCCTATACAACAGCATAGTCCATCAACAACAGTCACAAGTTTATTATTCTGCTATATGAATCCTGACATTGCAGGTATTAGACAATGGCAGAAAGCCCAGCATCCTACACAGGATGCTGGCACTGCCACCTGCGGCTTTATATGTTATATAAACATATAGGTCTTTATTTTCTTCAATGGCATCTTCCAGTGTTTTCAGGAAGTCAAATTAATAACATTATAGTTATTATTCCTATTTTGATAGCACAGTAGTATCAAAATAAAGCATTTTCTTGGGTCTGGTGGTGAGGCACAGCAAATCAAGCAGTCACCTGCAAATGCCAGCATCCCAAATGAGCACTGGCTGGAATGCCAGCTGCTCCACTTCCGATCCAGCTCCTTGAGAATGTGACTGGCAAAGCAACAGAACATGGCCCAAGTATTTGGCCCCCTTGCTACCCATGTAAAAGTGCCAGAGCGAGTTCCAGGATCCAGCTGACACACTGCTGTGTAGCAGACGTAACTGCCCTTCTCCTTCTCTGTGCAACTCTGCCTTTCAAATAAATTTTTAAATCTTAAACAAAAGCAGCCTTTTCTGCTTTCAGGTATGTCTGCTTTATCATTAATTTCTGCTCTTGTAAGAGCTTTAATAAAAGCCATGGTAGCTAATGAAGAAATCCTTTTGAAAAAGGATCTTTAGGTGCTTTGTGGCACAGCATGTGAAGCCCCTACTTGGCAGCCCATATCCACGAGTCCCCGCTGCTCCAACCCAGCACCCGGCTAATGTGGCTTGGAAAGCACTGGAGGACGGCCTAAGTTCTTGGACTACTGGCACTTTGCAGACCGGATGAAGCTGCTAGTTTCAGCCTGGCCCAGCCTGGCCACTGCTGTAGTTAAGGGAGTTAACCAACGATGGGAAGATCTCTCTCCCTGTTTGTTACTCCACCTTTTAAAAAAATAAATCTTAAAAAATAAGGCATCCTGGGAGTACAGCAGAAGGTTCCTGCTGCATTAAAGGACCTTCAGAAGTATATTAAAGGGGAGACAAAGTCCACAGGAGGGTAGTTCAGATAAACTGAAATGAATGAAGAAACAGATGCCAGTGAGAAGATATAGGTCTTCTATTTCACCCATAAAACAGCCTTTGGAACACAGTTAATATTACAATGTTGCATGTTGCATGATACACTCTGGGCCTTAAACAGAATCTAAGCAAAGCGAAAACAGTAAAGGGCACGCGGAGACACACTGGCTCACACTGCACCCCGAGTCGGGAGCTTCTCCCAGCCCTGCCGGAGGACTCACCTCTCCACCACGCTGTCCTGCTGCCTCACGAAGAACTGATAGAGCTCAAATGGAGACGTCTTCTCTCGGCTCAGCCACACGGCGTTGCCGGCCGACTTGCCCAACTTTGCTCCGGCCGTGCTGGTGATCAGAGGGACAGTGATGCCGAACACGTCTTCTCCAGTCAACCTGCGCGTGAAGAACAACCCCAGGAGGCACCTGAGCGCGGGGGCGACGTGCCAGGGCTCGCTCTGCCCTAACTCCGCATCCACAGTAGAGACTAACCGAAGGCAGGCAGGCTCTGGACCAGTGGAGGGTGCCAAACCACCGGGAACCAGCGACCGGGACAGATTTGGGAAGAGGCGGTAAAGCTACTGCTTCAGAGATGTTTGAGTCGGGCTGTGTGACACATGGGCTGGTCGGCTATCCCCTCAAGAAACGCCATTAAGATCTAGTTGTCAAACACTCGGAGTTGGGAAAACATTTTTGAGATGCCACCAAGGGGCTGGGATCAGCTTCAGGGCGGGGGCAGGGTCAAGGTAGGATTCCACAGAGGAAGAAACAACCGAAGGCCAACTTCCCCGATAAGAAACAAAGGAGGACGCCTACGTGAGACCCTACGCACACACAGCCGACGACCTTCCTGCACAACTCTGCCTGACGCCCCTTCCTTTTAATGCCCTCAAATCCGTCGGCTGGTTCTCACTAGCCTGTGTTGCTAAAGCATGACAGACCCGAGAATGAGAGCAGGGCAGCACCCCACTGTTGCTAACCGCGCACCCCCAGCCGCTTACCTGTGGATGAACTCGTATCCGGACATGATGTTGCCCAGCTGGTCCGAGCCGCCCAGCTGGACCCGGCACCCGTAGCGTTGGAACAGGTGGTAGAAGTCGTAGGCCTGGAGCACCTGGTACAGGAACTCGGCCAGGCTCATGCCCTCGGGACTCTGCAGGCGCCCCTGCACGCTCTGCCGGCTCAGCAGCGTGCCCATGCGGAAGTGGCCGCCCACGGCCGACAGAAAGTCCACCAGGCGCTGCGGCTCGTACCAGGCCGCGTTGTCCAGCACGGTGAAGCGGCCCCAGGGGCGCCCGTCGGCGAACACCTGCTGGTGGTTGGCCGCCAGGGCCTCGAGGCCTCGGCGGAGGGCGCGCGCGTGGGCCTCCACACGCTCCGCGCCCAGCGCCTCGCGCTCCTTGGTCCGGCCGCTCGGGTCCCCCAGGCGCGCCGTGGCGCCCCCGACCAGCGCTATCACGTCGTGGCCCGCTCGCTGGAAGTGAAACAGGCCCAGCAGCGCCAGCAGGTGACCCACGTGGAGCGAGTCGCCCGTGGGGTCGAAGCCGCAGTAAATGGTCTGAGGGGAGAAATTAGCCGAGCTGCGGTCGAAGAGCTCCGGGAGCTCCACCTTCGTCCCCCTCTCAGGGAAGAACTCTTTGAACAAACCCCTGGCCTTCTGCGCCGCCAGGACCCCCTGCGTGCCCGAGTGAGCCCTACGCAATCCGGGGCGCAGGACTTTGGACGGACCTGGGGTACCGGGCCACCAGCCCCAGAAACGGTACCTCAGCATGGGCGCCGCCATCTTGGCAGCGGCACGAAGGGAATGCTGGGAGCCGCCCCTTCGGCGCCCGCCTCCTGCCGCGACCGTGTTTTCTGCGCATGCCCGGGCGGCTCGGTTGCTTAGTAACGGCTCTGGCGTTCGCTAGAATTCTGCGGGTCCCCCGGAGAAACACTGCATAGGTTGCTTAAACTTCTTGCTTGTGCTTCTGACCGTAGTTCTTACCTCCTAGGGCTGTCAGGAAGATACGTGAAGGCGTGTATCACCTAGTAAAGTTCTCTGCGAACGTTAGTGCTAAGCTTTCACGTGACAAGACTGTGGCGTGCAAATTGTTTGAGGACTTTTAGGTAGTGGAGACACGGCTGTGTATCTCGGTCCCCCGTATTCATTACTTCCTCCTGGAGGTGGCAGTCACGTCCAAGCCGCAGCAAGAGAAAATTGAGTATCACAAGCATGTAACGCTCTTCGTTTCTTATTGCAAGCCTGGATTCAAATTTGTAGTCCCTGCGGTCTCAGCACGCCGTGTGCCCTCACTACCGACAGCTGGCTGGCAGGTGACCCAGCTCCAAATTCCCGTTTTAAAAGTGGCCCCGGGGCGCCTCTCTCTGCATGCCCGTCTCTAGTGGAGCTCTGCACTCGGTGCTGGAGAGTTGGGTGCAGGTTTACCGGGACCCCACTGTCCGGGGGCAGAGAGGGAAGCAGTGTGCGGATAGGGACTCGGCCCTGCTGGAGAACGTACCCCCATTTTAGTCTGACCCTGCCAAGGCAACAACAGCAGGCAGGACTGGAAATTTAGTGCATGTATACCAGGCTAATTTTCAGTTGGATAATTTTATGGCCCAAAGCTGATGTGATAAATATCCCTTCGGTCCTTGGCAAAACAACAAAAAACCCTTGGCCACCAGTGCACCATTCCTTACAGATCTTTCTGTTTCTTAACATGATAAAGTCGATTCATGAGATAAAATTCCATTTTAAAAGCTAGTTTCTTTGCATATATACTGATGAGTGAGTTGACTTTCTCATTGCCCAATAGTAAGTTTACCAAGATGCTGAGATGTGCCTTCAGCAGCCTCTCTGGTGTCGCTCCAGATGTTGAAGACAGTAACCATGACGTGTGTTCTCATGCTGCTGCTCCACCCGCCAAGCTCCCCAACACTCTCCCAGGGCCCCAACTCAGTCTTCACAGCAGGAAACGTTCCTGAATGCTGGGCGGGTATGTGTACCCTTGAACACCTAATGCAGACTTGCACAATTTTCAGAATGTTTTTTTTTTTGGGAAACTTTGCTTTTTAGAAACACTTTTTAGTGTTTTAGCTGATCAGATACAAACTTATCTGTGGATTTTTAAGCTGTATAGGTAATTTCATATCACAAACTATGACTTCATGTTGCGGCTTAATGACTTTGTCACTTCAGGAAGCCCTACTTCTCCTTGCCAAAGTGTGCACCTGTGTCAGCCTAGTAGCTAAATCCTAGGCTCGCAATCAGGATCCCATATGGGTGCCAGTTTGTGTCCCGGGTGCTCTACTTCCCATCCAGCTCCCTGCTTGTGGCCTGGGAAAGCGGTGGAAGACGGCCCAAAGCTTTGGGACCCTGCACCCGTGTGGGAGACCTGGAAGAAGCTCCTGGTTGCTAACTTCAGAATGGTTCAGCTCCAGCCATTGTGGCCACTTGGAGAGTGATCAAATGAGAAAATGCCCTTAGAATTTTCTTCCAGTTTTTCTTCCAAATTTCTTTTGTGATCTCTCACATACTGAAAATAGTTTTCCTTCAGGACATTTCCTTTATAGCTCCCCCGCCCTTTTTTTTTTTTTTTTTCATTTATTCCTCTGTGTCTCCCAAGTCCCAGATCCCCACCTAGATGGTAATCAGAGCTTATTAGGACATAAGTATGTGTGGTTTACTAAATTACAGTAACAGCTACAGATTTCTGCTTGGGTTAGACTCTTCCTGGCTCCCGTACAGGTCTTATTCTAACAAGCATCTCCTCCATCTTCATTCCAGGAACTCCGGACAGAAAAAGCAAACCACTTCCCACCTGGTCTCCAAAGATTTTGGAGGGTTATGTCCCCCATCAGTAAAGTATAAGCAATCACTATTTCAGTGTGTGATAGAGTGAAAGCAAGCGAGAAACAGCTGCTCTTGTACTGCTGAAGTGATTCATTATGTATGTAATAACACCATCCACAAAAATGAGCTAAAGTATAAAGTTCTAATTTTTCATCCTGTGTCCCAATGAACAAATCTATAGCTTCTATTGGTTGCACACATCCCATTCTAAGAGAAATATCCAGAAATATTCAGAACCAAGTATGACTAAGCTAACCCCCTGCACTAGTCAATTTCCCATGGCTCTTTTTATGGGACAATTTTAAAACTAGAATTTAATAGTTTTTTGGGTTTTTTTTTTAAATGCATAATCCTTCTTACTTCAGTCCCAAGTAACTTAATCCTGGATTTTTCTTGTTCTTTTATGACTTCTGTCATATTGTTACTTCTTTTATTCACTCTTCCTTGAAGTCTTGTCTTCCCTTAGGTAAACTGCTTGCCGTCACATTTTGACATTTAAGAACACATGTGTCGGGCTTCAGCCAGTATTGCTCCCAGCAGTACTTGGAAGGATACACATACAAACGAGCAGGGAATTGTCTGAGAGTTCACCTGGAGTCTGTCCAAGATGGAAAGGACCTGGAAGCCATCCAAAGACTAAAGGAGCTGCCAGTTGGGTGGATAATTGGAAAGTAAGGTGGAATTTCCTACATGTAAAAATATGAAAAGAAGACCTCAATAGGTACAAAGGCTATGCTATTTTCCATTATAAAACTCTTTATCCCACAGGAAGAAATGTCACCACAACCATTTCACCCTCATATGCTGGCATCAAAAACCTCAAATCTGAGGCATTTAACAACGCATCCAGTTCTCCCTCAAAGAAAAAAAATGAACTGGCTTTATTTTTCCATCTTTTCAGATGTATCAGCTACTCGAGCAACAGTGAGAGCGCCAGTCCGTAGGGTCCTTTTGGCGTCTTCATTTCACCATCTATCTTGGCAGTGTCTGAGGAACACTTGCCTGTCTTTGTCTCCAAAAGGGAACACTGTGGACTTCCCCTCTGCAGATGCTGAGGACAAAGATGGACACGCTTGAAAGCCCCGCTTGGGGCGGGGCCCAGTCAGTCCCCTCAGCTGGGCAAGAGGGGGGTGTTCCCACGGCATGCCCCACCCCAGCTGGTCCCTAGCCAGGCTCTCGATGGAAATGCAGCATTTCAGCTCAGAGCTCAGCATACAGCTTACATGCCCACACTCCTTGTAATTATCTGTGGGTTTCACAATAGTGAAGAGGAAGCAGCTTAGAAATTGCTCTTTCATAATAAATACCCTTATATGAAGGCCAATAAATGTTAATGTATAAACCCCAAAAGCTACAAACAAGGAACTCATGCAGTTTCGTGTACAGCCATAAGGACAAGTGACAACTTTGCTAACACTAACTGATATTTTTGTGTTCTGCACCCAAGAGAGATTCAAAATTGCTCGAATCCTTTTTGCAAAATTACTTTCAATTCTGAAGGCCATTATTCAGTTTGCCTTCTGCCTCCTTTTACTAAACTAAGTGATTCTAATTTTGAATTTGCTCCATAAACCATATTTTTAAGTCAAATTCATCTCAACTTGATCAGTCTTGTGAGATTTAAACAATTGTGGAAAAGTCAGAGGAGTTTAGATTTATTTTATATGTTTGAAAGGCAGAAATATAGGTTGAGATTCAGAGAAAGAGAGAGAGAGAGAGATATCTTCCATCTGCTGGTTCACTTCCAAAATAACCACAATGACCAGGGGTGAGCCAGTCCAAAGCCAAGAACCCGAGCTTCTTCCAGGTCTCCCCCATGAATGCAGAAAAGGGGACCAGGCCCTTAGGCTATTATGTTCCACTGCTTTCTCACACACATAAGCAGAGAGCTGGATTAGACGTGGAACACCTGGGACTCGAACGTGGCCGGTTGACTGTTATACCACAGTGTGGTCCTGAAAAGTCAGTTCTTTTGCCTGAAAAACTGGAACCTAGTGTTTCTTGATGCCCTAAAAACTCTTCTGTACTTAATTTTCTATCTTAATAGTCCCCTCCCTGCTGGAGAGGACAGCTGTTTAGTGGCTTTGACAGTTACCAGAGGGCTGGACCCAGGCGTTAGGTTTGTTCCTCCAGGGATTTAGAGTTTAGACAAAGATGGCGCTGTCCATCAATGGCAAACCTAAAAGCTGGTCACACATGATGACAATCACATACAATGACAATCACACACAATGACAATCACAAAGACAGTCACACACATGACAGTCAGACTTTACACACTAGGAAGAGCCATGTGTAAGGCCATAGTAGCACAATGTATTTGAGAGCAGGGAGAAATGTGCTGGTCCTCTGTCTCAAATGTTTCACTTACCTGTAGATAACCAAGAGCACAAAGCTAGAATTCAGTAGGTAGGGCAACTCTATGAGACAGACACCACTTTAATATCAATTGTTCAGATGATAAAGCTGAAGGAACTCGGACTTGGAGCGACAGAGCTGATTTAAACAGACTACTCTGGCTTCTGTGCCCAGGTTTTAGTCTGGCTTATCTTACATCTATCTATGCAGGGTTTTTTTTGTTTTTTTTTTTTTTTTTTTTTTTTTTTGCATTGCAGTTGTGTTTGCTCACAATGACAGACTAAAATGTTGTTTTAAAGCAGGTGTTAAATGGGTCAAGTAGTAGGACCAGACAACTTTAAAACAGTCAGAAGCAACTCCAGTGAAAGTTCATCATAAAAATTTTCTTCTGAACTACATCTAGAAGGGTGGAGGGAAGTTTGCCGGGTGAAGAAATGGGGAGAAAATGTGTTTCAGGGCAATGGTAGTACACGAGCAAAGGACAAGACTAAATGACTAAGGAACTGTGGCAGATTCATGTGGCTCCAGTGAAAGGTCTGAGAGGGGCAGGTGTCAGTATACTAGCTGCTTATAATGGAATTCACAGGTTATAA